CTGCCTCAGTCTCTCAAGTAGTTGAGATTACAGGTGTCTGCCACCACACCTGCCTAATTTTTTGTATTTTTAATAGATACAAGGTTTTACCATGTTAGCCAAGATGGTCTCAATCTCCTGACCCTCATGATCCACCCGCCTCAGCTTCCCAAAGTGCTGGGGTTATAGGCATGATCTGCCGTGCCTGGCCACAATTTTTTAATTTTTTAATCATTTTCTTCTTCTTCTATGTTATTAATCATCCTAACCATGCAAAATGTAAATCAAGATAATTGAGCACACTTTTCCTTTTAAAAAATAAACAAGAAAAGCTTGATATATGTGGTAAATTGAATGGATGAAAATTGTTTATTGGGGCTAAGATTGGCGATGGAAAAGGTCCATGCCCAATTAGAATACAAGCTAGGGTTTATGAAAGAAGATTCTACAACCACAGAAATGGAAAGCATAATAGAAAAAATGGAGAGTACTCTTGTTTTGGCTCTTAAGTCCTGAATTCCATCATTTATTCTTAAATAGCATGTAAGCCCTTTGAAGCGAGAGTCAGGTAGGACAAAATTGATGTTATTAAGTCTTTTAGAATGATGTAGCATCATGATTTTAATTATCTTTTGCATTCACTGACATACTGTGAACACTAAACAAAATTAAGGAGGTAAAGAGGATAATCAAGTGCAAAATCTAGTGTAGAAGAAAAGTTAAAAATAATTTTTTTTTTAAATGAAATAACACAAGTTTGCACAGGAAATGAGGAATTTTAGCTAAAATGTTCACTCTTAGCAAAAATGAAAACACTTCAGTTAAGGATGGTAGTACTATGTCTATTTGAAGTGTATTAGAAATATATTTTGTTTGATTATACAACTAGATAGGCTATCAGAAGAATAAAAGAAACTTTGTATGTGGGATGTATTTTAATAGAGGGGTATTTTCTTGGTTTTTCTTCTACATCTGGGTATGTTCTTTGTTTTCAACCCAACTGGTAAACAAAGGAAGTAATTCTATTCTCTCATAGAGACAGAGAGGATATGAAATTACTTTCTCTGTTACTATTTAATGATCTTCTAAAAAATTTATCAACCAACCTGCCCTATTTCGCAGGCATAAACCTATATTTGATTCAGAGGTTAGAGATGTTTGCCAGAATATTGACTTCCTTTCTAATAAAATACACCAGAGCAGGAATCCATCTAAGAATCATAAACTAGGGAGTTTTGGACATTATTTCAGGTATTAGTCACTGAAATAAGTTTTCTAAGATAGTCTGTCCTGTAGGGCACTCTCACTACATGGACTTCAAGGACAGACACATAGCTATCAAGCTTCCAGTTTGCTACCGCCATTTCTTATGACAGTAACATAAAATGCCTTTTAAAAAAATGTGTCACACTTACAGTGCCATTCAACCTATAGCTATGTTTTGCTGGATGACACATCATTTGGCTCAATGGTTCCAGTAAAATATTCTGTAAGCTTAAATCCAGAAGATCAGTTATTTGTGGTGAAGTTACTTGTGTGAAGAAGATACTTCTTAGCTTTATATGAATATAGGCAAACACTTTTATACTTACGATTTTAAAATGTTGTTCATATGAATAGCCAGTTCTGCCTTATTCCTAATTTCCTGGCCAGCAACTCAGTCATCCTGAACTGATGGTGCTATCATGTATGACCATTTCCCCACCTCTCCCTGAGTGAAATGATGGGCGATCATTAGTATTCCATTGTAAGGTGGCTTGTAATTTTTTTTACTATGTTCTAAGCTCCAGTATCTATTGGTGGACATTTAATTCATTTGTGTTTTTTTTGCTGCTGTGAATATCCTTTCATAAATATCTTCTTGAATTTGTGTGAATATACCTTAAGATCAATTCCTAGCACTGAAAATGTTTGAGATACAATTTTTAACATAATTAGAATGCTTAAATTAAGAACTTTTGTAGGAAATTATATATTACATATAAAAATGTCTTTTTCAATTTTTTTCTATAATATTTTTTAGAAGTTCATTGGTTTCAGTTTTTAGACAAAGACAACCAGTTCAGGTAGTCATCTGGCAAAATTATCTGTTAATAAAAATCACATTTTGGCTGGACACAGTTGCTCCCGCTTCTAATACCAGCTACTTGGTAGGCTGAAGCAGGAGAATTGCTTGAACCCAGGAGGCAGAGGTTGCAGTGAGCCAAGATCACGCCATTGCACTCCAGCCTGGGTGACAAGACCAAAACTCCATCTCAAAAAAAATCACATTTTTACATATAAATCTTTTGTTGACTTATTTCTCTTTATACATAGAATATGACGATAACTTCATAAAATCTTAGATATACTCAGTTTTTCTTTTATGAAATCTCTCACTTTCAGAAATGCAATTTTAAAGGGCGTTTTTCATTTTTGGAAGACCAAAATAGGCTTTATTAATTGTGAAGTGACAGATAAAGAAACATAAATGTAGCAGTTTAAGTTTTCTGATTTAACTGATTATCTTTCTTTGTATTTTCGATCTTCTCTTCTGTATCTAATTGGCTTGTGGTCTAATGTTTTAGCAAAATGTTAGAGGTGTACTTGCCTTATTTTGCATAGATTCATAAAATGAAGATGGGGCCAGGCATAGTGGCTCACCCTGTAATCTCAACACTTTGGGAGGCCAAGGCAGGCAGATTGCTTGAGGTCAGGAATTTCAGACCAGCCTGGCCAACATGGCAAAACCCCGCCTCTACTAAAATTACAAAAAGTAGCCAGGCATGATGGCACATGCCTATAATCCCAGCTGCGTGGAAAACTGAGGCACAAAAATCACCTAAACCCAGAAGGCAGAGGTTGCAGTGAGCCGAGATTGTACTGCTGCACTCCAGCCTGAGAGACTCTTTCTCAAAAAAAAAAAAAAAAGTGAAGATCAGCAAGCAGTAGCCATTGGCTAAGTCACTTAAATTCTAAAAAAAAAAAAGAACTTGAAAATTACCTGTTGGAATTGGCTACATACATCTGCTTTTTCTGAACCAAAAGTCTGCTTTGAACCTTTGCAATTGGCTCTGTTAATCTTTGTCCAGGCTTTTAGCTTCATCAGTTATATTTTCCACTTTATAATCCCATTTTAATTTATGGCTTTAAGGAATCTTGAAATTTTACAGACTGAAAAATAGCACTCAAACATGTTAATTGATCTACCACTAGATATACAAAGTATCATATTTGAATGATATTAGGGTGAGTGGTGGCTTAATTCACATTTCTTATAAAAGCACTGATTCTCCACCCTAACTTGTACTTTAGAATTACCTGGGGCTTTAAAAAAAATACAGATGGCCAGACATCACCCAGAGAGTAGAATTTAGCATTGAGAGTTTTAGAGAGTGCTCTAGGTCAGCTCTGCTGTTGTACAGCCAGCGTTAAGAACCATTGCTTTATTGGCGTGGCTCAAAGCTCATTCTAGTAAGTAATTTAGTGCTGTTCCAATATTTAAAATGTTTCATGAGCCCTATCAGAGTTTTTCAAAGAGTGATATGTATACCATTGGTGGTACATAGGGTAACTTTACCCACTTTTAGATGTTAATAATTACATATTTGTTCAGTGTATATTAGAACAGGGGTTCCCAACCCCCGGACTACAGACCAGTACTGTTGTGGTCTGTTAGGAGGTAAGCTGCAAGTGGGCAGGGCGAGTGAGCATTTCCACCTGAGCTCTGCCTCCTGTCAGATCAGCAGTGGCATCTCATAGGAGTGCAATCCCAATTGTGAACTGTACATGCAAAGGATCCAGTTTGCGTGCTTCTTATGAGAGTCTAATGCCTGATGATCTGTCACCGTCTCCCATCACAGCCAGATGGGACTATGTAGTTGCAGGAAAACAAGTTCAGGGCTCCCACTGATTGCACATTATGGTGACTATGTAGTAACGAGGAATAAAGTGCACAGTAAATGTAATATGCTTTAATCATCCCAAAACCATCTCCTGCCACACATCTATGGAAAAACTGTTTTCCACAAAACCGGCCACTGGTGCCCAAAAGGTTGGAGACTGCTGTATTAGAAAATAAATGTAAGTATCATATCAAATTCACAGTTTCACGAGTACTGATTTGGTTGAAGCTCAATTTTTTTTAAATGGTAAGTTAGTGTGCCAATTTAAAGGAAATTTGCCAAATTATAGAAATAATTAAATGAATAGGTACTTCATACATATCACAGAAATCATGAAGATGCTGAAGAAACACAATGGCAACTTGAATAAGGGGCACCCTCTAAAGGTACTTTGAATCCGAAGTACCAGTATTTTTTCTCCCAGATATGTTTACAGTGATTTAATCCTTCTGGCTTTTTCAATTCAGGGACAGACTTTGAAAATTAGTATTTTTGCAAATTTTTGAATCATTGCTTTCTAACTTTAAATTTCTTGACACTTAGTTCTCTTGTGAAAATGTGCCTTACAGATCAAGAATACTTTGTTCCTGTATTTTTCTAGGGTATGAGAGGTCATGTAAGAAGAGGAAGGAGAGTGTGTGTTATGTGTGTATGACAGGGAAAGAGAGGGATAGATGGATGGTCAGAGGGGTTGATGGACAGGTGACTAGATTACTTGGATACCTGGGTAGAGAACAATATTAATAATTGTGGGGCCTCACTTTCCAAATACTCGTCTCCTCAGACTCTCAGGAAGTCTAGAGGTCTGTTACAACTCAAAATTGTCTGGGAAATACTGCTTTAGATTCTTTCACTAGTAATATGAATTGCTCTGGGCCAATTAAAATGAGCTCCCTATTCTGTATAACAGACCTCTCTGAGCAGGCTCAGATAAATTTGAATAGGCAGATTACCTCTTGCTACAGATAACTGTTTTGCTGTTTTATCAGGAATGTATATAGACTTCAGTTATAGAGGCAGCTGTCCTGAACAAGAGTAGCCACACAGTCTACATTTAAATTATATTACTGGAAGTTAAAAATACTGTGATGCAGCTGTAATGTTATGTTTAAATGTCTGTCCTGTATAATTTTGTAGAATGGAAGCGTCTTGCCTAGAGCTGGCCTTGGAAGGGGAACGTCTATGTAAATCAGGAGACTGCCGAGCTGGCGTGTCATTCTTTGAAGCTGCAGTTCAAGTTGGAACTGAAGACCTAAAAACACTTAGTGCTATTTACAGCCAGCTGGGCAATGCTTATTTCTATTTGCATGATTATGCCAAAGCATTAGAATATCACCATCATGATTTAACTCTTGCAAGGTAATTAATTTAAGCTTTTAAAATATTCTTCCTTCTGCAATTAGCTATTATTTAAAAAAAAAATTTCTATCCAATTAACAAAAACTAACAATATATTTAATGAGTTCTACTTCAGTAGCATCGCTTTTTAAAACTAATCTTTAGGCTGAACATAGCTTAATTGAATGAATAGTAGTGAAAGGACCCTAGAGTTTAATTAAATGAATGAAAACTAATTACATTCAAATACAGAAATGTAAGTTTTAAATATATATTTAAAGTAGGTTTCAGAGCCAATGGATTTTTCTTACCTTAAGCATGTCAGTTTGTCCTCTAGGAAAACTGTACTCTGGCTGCTTTATATTTTAACACCATTTGTATTTTAATACCATTTGTTTCTTTTTTTTTTTTTTCCAGGACTATTGGAGACCAGTTGGGGGAAGCCAAAGCTAGTGGTAATCTGGGAAACACGTTAAAAGTTCTTGGGAATTTTGATGAAGCCATAGTTTGTTGTCAGCGACACCTAGATATTTCCAGAGAGCTTAATGACAAGGTAATACCACAGCATTAAATGGTAGTAGGCCCAATATTTTCATTCAAAGTGCTTTGCGTTTTAATACTACTTAATTATTCTATAGTTTATTTAAAAATTAATGCCAAAAAAGAAAACATTTATAGACTATAGAAGTAAAAGAGGAAAAAAAATTTTTGATGGAGAAAAGGAAGTAGCAAGAGGGCTTTCTTTCATAAGTAATCATTTGATTGGTTCTGTATGGAGAGCAAATATAAAAATTTCTTTCCCTTGACCATAATACTAAGGATATTACACATATATATGATAAAACTGACCTCTGTTTTCAAAATGTAATCTTTGCTGATGTCTTCATTTAGGTGGGAGAAGCAAGAGCACTTTACAATCTTGGAAATGTGTATCATGCCAAAGGGAAAAGTTTTGGTTGCCCTGGTCCCCAGGACGTAGGAGAATTTCCAGAAGAAGTGAGAAATGCCCTTCAGGCAGCAGTGGATTTTTATGAGTGAGTAGGGGCTGCTATGTGCAGTCATGCAGGCCCATCTAAGTTGTGGATCGGCTATATGTTCTTTATTCAGTAGTAAGTTTTAAGTTTGGCAAAAGTTTTAAAGTTATGAACTAGCAAAATCATCCATTCAGTTGCTTAACTGTTACGGTGTTATATTAGTAATCTGCAGCTTTTGTTTAAATTGCAGACCAGTGCCACTTAGTGGCACAAACAAGAAATATCAATGCTTGGTCTGTTATTTAGAGTAATTTAGTCTTTTACCAACAGAATTTCATAGAACTTCTTAACTACAGGGGTTCCCAGATTAACTCTGTGCTTGCCCCTGGGCAGAAACCTATCCGAATGGTTAAATAAAGTGTTGCCAGCTATTTCCTATAATTGCCCTTCATCGCAGATGTCATCCTTAAAATGTTGCACATTATGACTGTAAACTTATTTACATTTTTTCCTAATAAAATTAGATATGTAAATCAAATAAATAAAATTGTTTTGAAAACTTATTTCATCACTTTTTGCTGTCCCTTAGGGAAAACCTATCACTAGTGACTGCTTTGGGTGACCGAGCAGCACAAGGACGTGCCTTTGGAAATCTTGGAAACACACATTACCTCCTTGGCAACTTCAGGGATGCAGTTATAGCCCATGAGCAGGTACAGTGGAAGGCCTTGGAGCCAGATCATTTCTTCATCAAAGTTCTGAACACCGATTAGATCATTCTCCAGTTTTATTATAGCTACATCTAATTAAAACTTTCTTTTTCAGCGTCTCCTTATTGCAAAAGAATTTGGAGATAAAGCAGCTGAAAGAAGAGCATATAGCAACCTTGGAAATGCATATATATTTCTTGGTGAATTTGAAACTGCCTCTGAATACTACAGGTCAGTCTAATATTTCTGTAGATAAATGTAAAATGAATAGTTATTCAGTCCCATTAATTCATAGGCTTTGGTTTTAAAATCTGATTGCAGCAGGACCTGTGGCATCTAAGTCTCAATCTCCTTATCTGTAACAGAAAATAGCAGTACTTCATTTTGGGGAATGCTGTGAGGATTGAATGAAATAATATTTTAAGCACTTAGCATAGTACCTGGCACACAGTGCTCAATAAATATTATTGTACCTAAGATTTAATCGCTATATGAACACTTTTTATTATTGGTTTTTATCTTTAAAAGTAATTGTTTTTAAATGAAATTTTCAACCTTTAATGTCTTTTAAACTTGTTTAGCATATGTGGTATATATTGTGTATATACTTTATTTCACTCAATTATGGGTTAGAATAGAGGTCAAAAGAAAGCCTGGTAACAAAAATATTAATAATGTCTACCAGTGATCACTGAATTTTTCCTCTACATTCCCACCCTCTTATTGAGCAGTTCTCCCTTTACCCTCTTTTTGCCCATATTTGGCTATCACTGTAAGCTGAGTCCCCATTCATTTACCTGAAGAGCTGGCAATCGCAGCTGCTTCTGTGGCAGGATCTTTCTTATCAGTAGGTTTGAAACATATATGATAGGAAGTTAAGACAGCTTCAAGTTGTCTGATCTGTGCTTTCTGGATTGAGTTTTCCATAGTTAGTGGGGATTGAAGGCCCTTATAGATTTCAGGTAGAAGCCAGTTTGACCAAACAGAAGACACAGTGATTGATGTATTTTGTTAATCCAATGATTCTTTAATGAGTTCTGGATAATTTGTCATCTTTAAAAAAAAGGTAAAATTGGGCCAGGCACAGTGGCTCACACTTGTAATCCCAGCACTTTGGGAGGCCAAGGTGGGCGGATCACAGGGTCAGGAGATGAAGACCATCCTGGCTAACACGGTGAAATTCCGTCTACTAAAAATACAAAAAATTAGCCTGGTGTGGCAGTGCATGCCTGTAGTCCCAACTGCTCAGGAGGCTGAGGCAGGAGAAACACTTGAACCTGGGAAGCAGAGGTTGCAGTGAGCCAAGATCATGGCACTGCACTCCAGCCTGGGCAACAGAGCAAGACTCTGTCTCAAAAAAAAAAAAAGAAAAGAAAAAAAGTAAAATTGTTTTAGGCCTATCTAAAAAATTGAATAGCATTCCACCTTGCTTTAAACATTAACTAGTGGTTAATATTTGTTGGTTGGTTAGGTTAGTTAGATATGAAATAGCTTCCCAAATAAAATATATCACGATGTGAAGGAGTATATATTTTATTTTAAATATGAAAGTTTTTATTTTCAAGCCAAGGTATATAGAGAAGTCTTAATTATTAAATGGTGTGTCTGTTAAAGACTGAAAGGTTCTATCATAAAGTGAATAGTGGCTATTTGCCTAAAGGAGCATGAATAGAAAGTAATGAAATTTACTTTTTTTCTCTCAATAAGCAGGCTAGAACTCAGAACTTTATATATATTCCAAATTGTTGGTTAGAAATATTTTTGGAACTCTTATTTGGAATTATTATTATTATTATTATTATTTGAGACGGAGTTTCACTCTTGTCACCCAGGCTGGAGTGCAATGGCACGATTTTGGTTTACTGCAACCTCCACCTCCTGGGTTCAAGCAATTCTCCTGCCTCAGCTTCCTGAGCAGCTGAGATTACAGGTGTCCACCACCACGCCCAGCTAATTTTTGTATTTTTAGTAGAGATGGGGTTTCACCACATTGGCAAGGCTAGTCTCGAACTCCCAGCCTCAAGTGATCGGCCCACCTCGGCTTCCCAAAGTGCTGGGATTACAGGCGTGAGCCACCACACCCAGCCTGGAATTGTTTTCAGGGCCCAACAAAAAGACTGACATAACATTACAGATCCATAGCCTTATGGATACAAAGCAGTAGTTTGATAAACTTATGTTAGTAATTGAATTTGGTTCCAAAAAGATTTCTGATCATTTACAAATCAACTATACCATCAAAGAATAATGATATGCCAGAAAGCATTATGCCACTGGATCTGAAGGCAATTACAAAAGTCTTTCAAAAATATTTGAAAAGACAGGCAACATTCGAATAAGTAGGTAGCCTTCCAAGGTGACCAATTGGAAGGTATCATCATTAAATATGTAATTTTAGATGTGCTTGCTTAAAAAAAAATCTACGTTACCATAGAGTAATTTGTCATATAGTTATAAATGATATGAAGTAATTATACTATTTGATAGAAACGATGGGAGAGTCATTTAAATTATTGAATCTGATAATAATAAAATAGCACATTAACATTTATATAGTATCTACTAAGCACAAGAGCTGTTCTAAGCACTTTATATATATTCATTTAATCCTCACAAAAGTTCTTCGAGGTATTTCCCGCATTTTATATATGAAGAGACTGGTATACAGAGAGGTTGAGTGACCTTGCCCTTAGCTTACTAATTTGGCACAGTTGGGATTTAAACCCAGCGTAGCTCCAAGATCTCTGCTCTTAACTGGTATGCTAGTTTTTCACTGACAATAACGCAGGTGGAATTTGGGTAAGGTTTAGATGCAGTATTCAGTATTTTTCATGAATTTGTGACTAATGCCCTACACATAAGAATTTTACCTAAATATTTTAAATTTTGACAATGCAAAGGTGACAGTGTGACTGAAAACAGATGTGGACAAAAGCCTCTTTTAGCTATTGTCAGTACTAAAGGGAAAGGTTTTTGTTTTGTTTTGTTTTTTGAGAGAAGGAAAGAAAAAAAATGAGTAAAGGAGAGGAAGAAAGAGGAAGACAGAGAGGGAGGGTGAACAGAAATATTGCTTTATTCTGCAAAAAAAATGGGTATTAATAATGGCCAATGTTTCTTTTAAACCTATGAGTAGGTGTGATGTGGTATTGACAAGAATGTATATTTTGTGTATTTGAAGTGGAGAGCTCTATAAATATTTATTAAGTTTACTTGTTCCAGATCTGAGTTCGAGTCCTGGATATCCTTATTAATTTTCTGTCTCATTGAATCTAAGTCTCTGTGTATCTGGGTGTTAGGATCGTTAGCTCTTGTTGTTGTACTGATCCTTTTACCACTGTATCTTTGTTGCTTTAAAGTCTATTTTATCTGATATGAGAATTGCAGCTCCTGCTTTTTATTTATTTTTGCTCTCCATTTGGTTGGTAAATCTTTCTCCATCCCTTTGTTTTGAGTCTTTGTGTATCCTTGCATGTGACACAGGTCTGGATGTAACATGCCATTGGGTTTTGGCTGTGTCTTTTGATTGGGGGATTTAGTCGATTTAAATTTAGGGTTACTGCCATTTGATGTTAACTGGCTGTTTTATCCCTTCGTTGATGTAAATTCTTCTTTATGTTGGTGCTCTTTACTTTTTGGTATATTTTTAGTAAGGCTAATACTGGTTGTTTCTTTCTGTGTGTAATGCTTCTTTCAGAAGCTCTTGTAAAGCAGGCCTGGTGGTAATAAAATCTCTGAGTACTTGCTTGTTCATAAAAGATTTTATTTTTCCTTCAGTTGTGAAGCTTAGTTTGGCTGGATATGAAATTCTGGGCTGAAGGTTCTGTTCTTTGAGGATGTTGAATATTGGCCCCCACTCTCTTCTGGCTTGTAAAGTTTCTGCTGAGAGATCTGCTGTAAGTCTGATAGGCTTCCCTTTGTGGGTAACCTGACCTTTCTCTCTGGCTGCCCTTAGTATTTTCTCCTTCGTTTCAACCCTGGTGAATCTAACGATTATGTGCCTTGGGGTTGCTCTTCTTGAAGAGTATCTTTGTGGTGTTCTCTGTATTACCTGGGGTTGAATATTGACCTGCTTTGCTAGTTTAGGAAAATTTTCCTGAATAATATCCTGAAGGGTATTTTCCAGCTTGGATTCATTGTCTCCGTGGCATTCAGGTACACCTATCAAATGTAAATTTGGTCTTTTCACATAGTCCCACATTTCTTGGAGACTTTGCTCATTCCTTTTTATTCTTTTTTCTCTAATCTTGTCTTCTTGTTTTATTTCATTAAGTTGGACTTTGACCTCTGATATCCTTTCTTCTGCTTGAACAATTCGAGTGTTTAAACCTGTGCATACTTCTCGGAGTTCCTGTATTGTATTCTTCAGTTCCATTAATTCACTTATATTCCTCTCTAAGTTGTCTATTCTCAATAGGATTTCATCAAACCTTTTTTCAAAGTTCTTAGTTTCTTTACGTTGGGCTACAACATGTTCTTTTAACTCACAGAAGTTTCTTATTATCCATTCCCTGAAGCATGATTCTGTTACTGGGATGTGCTCGTTCTCCATCAAGCCTTGTTCCATTGTTGATGTGGAACTGTGATCATCTTTAGAGGGAGAGGCGTTCTGATTTTGAGTATTCTCAGCCTTTTTATGCTGGTTTCTTCCCATCATTGTAAATTTATCCTCCTGTCGTCTTTGAAATTACCAACTTTCAGATTTGGTCTCTTGAGTGGACATCCAAGTTGTTAGTTCCCAGGGCCAGAACAGCGGCGTTAAGACTGATGGTGCTTTTCTGCCCAGGATTCTCCTGTCTGGCTTCCTTCTTGTATCCGTAATAGGCGACTCTGCCTTTCCGGGGCTCCAAACCTCGGTCAGAAGGGGAACCAGTCTCGTTTACTCTGTGCGAGAGCTGCCGCGCCGAGGTGCCGTCACAGCCGCTGCGCCGGCCTCAGGAGTCGTGCTGGGGACCTGTGTGGGTCCTCCAAACCTTGGTCAGAAGGGGAGCCAGCCCTGTTTACTCTGCTCCGAGAGCTGCCGCGCTGAGGTGCCAGTGAAACCGCTGCACCGGCCACAAGAGTCACGCTGGGGACCCATGTGACTCCTCCACTGGGGATCTTCTGCTCCGTGAGCGACCAGAATTTGTCTGAAAGTGTGGCTGCTCTAGTTCTCTGCGCTTTCACTGAGAGCTGCAATCCTGAGATGTTAGCAATCGGCCATCTTGGATCGTTCAATCAGGGAAAGTATTTTTTAATGTTAAAGATATTATGTTGGCCAGGCGCGGCGGCTCACGCCTGTAATCCCAGCACTTTGGGAGGCTGAGGCGGGTGGATCACGAGGTCAAGAGATCGAGACCATCCTGGTCAACATGGTAAAACCCCGTCTCTACTAAAAATACAAAAAATTAGCTGGGCATGGTGTTGTGTGCCTGTAATCCCAGCTACTCAGGAGGCTGAGGCAGGAGAATTGCCTGAATCCAGGAGGTGGAGGTTGCGATGAGCCGAGATCGTGCCATTGCACTCCAGCCTGGGTAATGAGCGAAAACTCCGTCTCAAAAAAAAAAAAAAAAAAATTATGTTAATCTCTAGAAACTCTTGTCATGTTTCAATACTTCTTTGGTAAATTGTTAGGATTCTCAAATTTATTCTGCAAGTCTTGAATCTGCTTTCTGTGTTTCAAAAACATCTTTTCATTTTGTCTAAAAGTAATGGAGAAAGTATGGGATATGAAAATTAGGCTCTCGGAGATTTAAAGGCAGCAGAGAGGAAAAATGAGAGTTTAATTTTCTGATTCTTATAGCCCAAACTGAGAATAATCATTAGGTAAGAATTAATTTCTTCTTGTAGGAAGACACTACTGTTGGCTCGACAGCTTAAAGACCGAGCTGTAGAAGCACAGTCTTGTTACAGTCTTGGAAATACATATACTTTACTTCAAGACTATGAAAAGGCCATTGATTATCATCTGAAGCACTTAGCAATTGCTCAAGAGCTGAATGATAGGTATGTTCTACATCTTTTTGCCATAACTAAGGTAAAATATAGATGCATTATTGAATCCCTAGAGTTTTTCCTTTGTTTCTTCTCCTTTATTTTCCTTAATAGGAATTTTCTGTTTCAGTGATGTCCTCTATATATTGTTGTTTGAAGGACTAGTCTGTGATAGAGGATTAGTCTGGTTCCATATGCCCTTGGCCCAAGATCAGTGACTAGGTCCCAAACTCAATTACCTCTTCAGAAGTCTTCCTGATGGGCCAGGCATGGTGGCTCACACCTGTAATCCCAGCACTTTGCGAGGCCAAGGCAGGCAGATCACGAGGTCAAGAGATCGAGACCATCCTGACCAATGTGGTGAAACCCCGACTCTACTAAAAATACAAAAATTAGGTGGGCGTGGTGGCACATGCCTGTAATCCCAGCTACTTGGGAGGCTGAGGCAGGAGAATCACTTGAACCCGGGAGGCAGAGTTTGCAGTGAGTCAAGATCATGGCGTGCTGCACTTCAGCCTGGTAACAGAGTGAGACTCCATCGCCAAAAAAAAAAGTCTTCATGAGTACATAAGTGTGGGAATTGTGGTGAACTTAGAGATAATGCCTGGTGTGAAGGGGGCTAAGAATCCATTATTTCCAGATCTTCCTGTCTTTTAAAGAGAAGCTGGAAGTGCTGAGTTTTATATGAAATCTGATTTTTAAATGTTAGTAGCTAATTCAGTTGTTTTGTTTTACTGTATGAAAAAAAAAAAAACAGTATATTTTTGCCAGCATTTAGTCTGTAATGTTTGCTTTAGAAGATAGATTTTTTTTTTTAACCTAAGTATGAGAGAGAACTTTTCCTTGCAGTTCAAAATGAAGTATGCTACCTGAAGAGGTAGTGAGACCCTCTGCTGCTCAAACACACTGGATGATTACCTGGTAGGGCTGTTAGAGAAAGAAAATGGGGTGTGGACCAGAATACCTATCCTTGAGATTTATTACTTGAGCATGTATTTCATATTTTAAAAGAATGTTTTCTATGTTCTAATATTTGACTATGAGTTTAGTATCATGTGGATATAGTTTTTTTTTTTTAATCTGGGTATCTTAATATATCTGTAATATCATGATTGTATATTCTTTATATGAAAGACCAAATCAATCCAAAGGTTTCTTTAGTTCCTGCTAGATAGCTTTTATTCTCTACATAGGACCTCTTTTCAAATAACTGCATGTTTGCTTTGAATAATGTTTTAGAATTGGCGAAGGAAGAGCATGTTGGAGCTTAGGAAATGCATACACAGCACTAGGAAATCATGATCAAGCAATGCATTTTGCTGAAAAGCACTTGGAAATTTCAAGAGAGGTATGAAACAAAAAAAATGCTGTCTGTGCTATTATAATTTACAAATTAGTGGTTGGGAAAGGGAACCCTATTATTTCTCTGGTTTGATCATATGGCTGAATAATAAATTTGATTATATATCATTCTCTTGGCATAGAACCCCACAAAGCATTTTGAGGTAGAGATCACAGTTAAGTTTGTGTTGGCTTTGCTGTAGGAAGACAGGAAGGTAAGGCTGGGCATGGGGAAATGGAAGGAGAGTACTAAAATACGCCTCTACTCTGCCCCAATGTCTACATGGAGAAGTAGCATGGTATTGAAGGAAAAGCATGGTTCTTAGAATCAAGGACGGCTGCTTCTTGTAGTTCTGCCACTTGCTGGCTGTTTGAGCTTGGAAACCTTTTGTGAGCCTCAATTTCTCTCATATGCAAAAGGGGAATAATAATGTCTAGGTTGCAAAGTGTTAGAACGATTAGAGATAATATATATTAAAAGTGCCTAGCATAATGTCTGGTGCTGGCTTAATAAACGTTAACGATTATACTATGGAAATAAAATAAGGAAATTTTATTCATATACCAAATTAATGTGGCCAGGATAATCTATGTTATTACTTAGTATGATGCCAGAGAATGAGAGCAATCTAATGTTTAGAGAACTAAAGAATTAAGAGTACAATTAGATGTCCTACTGTGATATTTTAGAAAATTATTTTTTCTTTCTATATTCTTTAAAAAAACTATTAATGGAAAAAAATATTCATTCAGTCTCATAATTCTAATATACCATTTTCATTTCTCTATATTTTCTTCCAGCTGTAGTTTCACTACATTTACAAATAATCTTCAGCATTCTTTGTCTTTGAGTACTACTCTAACATATAAATGTTTGTGGTTGTAGGTTGGGGATAAAAGTGGTGAACTAACAGCACGACTGAATCTCTCAGATCTTCAAATGGTTCTTGGTCTGAGCTACAGCACAAATAACTCCATAATGTCTGAAAATAATGAAATTGACAGCAGTTTGAGTGGTAAGTAATAGGACTTTTTAAACGCAATTTTTTTATCCTCAATATTTAAAGTTGTTTATCACAAGTTTGCCATATTCAGAGAGAATACATAACATAGGAAGATCAACTTATACTTTTTTTGTTGTACACAGCTCCATTAATTTGTAAACATAAATATGTAATTATATGTAACATATAATTTGTAAATGTAAAACATTATTTTAAAGTTTTTATCATGAACTTAGGAATGGTGATGGTATCATTCTTTTCTTTTGTAAAAATACATTTAAATTCTCTATCAGCTCATTCAAAAATTTATAAATGTGGAGGTGCCAAAATTTTTAAATGTTGTTTATTCTTTTTATCTCATACAGTTTTACATATTTGATTTCTGTTTAGTTCTTTTTCCCCCATGTCATTTCCAAGGTGAACTTTCTTAGAACTTTATTTTTTTAATTCAGAAAATCTAAGATAAAAATCTAAGATAAATCTAAAAATCTAAGATTTTTCTTTCTTTTTTTTTTGTGGCAAAATCTATTTTTAGGAAGCCTTCCTCAGGTGCCAATTTGGTCTGACATTTCTATCGAGAGGAAACTTGCTATAATGTCTCTTTTTGAGTGAAAAAAGTCTACTTATAAAGAAAAGGAATAAGATTAGGTTCACATTTCTTAATTTCATCGGTATGTGATTCTGTATGAGATCATTTTCCTAAGCTTAAGAAATTCTCAGTCTAAAAAAAAAAAACTGACAAATATTTTGAAGTTGAAAGTAATAAATCTACCTTTTCTCTTTCAAATTTTTTTCTCGAAAGTCATGAAAAAAAAGGAAAAGAAATTAATGACTACTCATCTGATTTAGACTTTTAAAGAATATTTAGTGAAAAGTTCTGAAGTGTGAGCCATATAATAATTTGTGACTGCATGCTTTGTGGTTAAATTATGGGCCAAAAAGTTTTTCTGTGTTGAACTTTCATATAGGTTATTCCATAAGAGCTCTCATCTTTAAAAAGCAAAAACAGTCGCTTGCTTCATGGACCATTCTAGCTATAGACCTGTTCCTTTGTTCTTTTCTATAACAAAACCTGGAAATATACTAATTGTTCATTGTTTTTACTTCCTTGCCTCCCATTCTCTCTTCAACCCACTCCCGTTGGGCTTTGCCTTCTCTGTGACTCTGAAACCACCTTTCAAGGTTACCACAAACCTCCATTTTACCAAATACATCAATGTCAGCTCACTCGATTTTTCTCAGCAATGTTTCCTATAGCCAATCATTCCCTTCTGAGAGTACCTTCTTCATTCAGCCTCCAGGATTTCTATACTTTTCTCGTCAGCCACTCTTGTCTTTATTCTCTTTTCTCCTCTTCATCTTTCTGTCCTCTAAGTTTGTAGTGCCCAGGGTTCAGTTCTTTACAGAAATAACAAGTGAAAACGAAAATAACAAAAATGGTTAGGTGGCCTGAGGGGGGGGGGGGAAAGCTAACATTTATTGAGTGCTTGTGATGTGCCAGGCACTGATTTAAGTGCTTTACATGTTTTAACTTATTTAATTGTAACAATTCTAGTAGTTAAGTTTCCGTTATCCTTAATTTACAGATGGAGAAATGGAGGCAATAGAGGTTAGCTAAATTTCCTAACCACAGGGTTACCTGTGTAGTAAGTGGTAGAGATGGAAGTTAAACTTAGTCACTATGGCTCCAGAATCCGTCTTATGTGATAGTTATGTCTTACTGTGATGTTAACACACCTCAATAATTGATAGATAAAAATCAGTCAGAAGTCAGACATCAATAATAAGAGATTTGACCAACACAATTAATAGGCTTCATCTAATGCAATATTTTGCAAGCTATGTCTCTGACGCTTTAATGAGTTAGAAAATCAGCCCATGGATTGCAGCTAGCATTAAAAATACACATACAGGAGCCAGAGCAGTGGCTCATGCCTATAATCCCAGAACTTGGGAGGACCACTTGAGCCTGGGAGTTTGAGACTGGCCTGGGCATATAGGAAGACCCCCATCTCTCCAAAACGTTTTTTTAAATTAGCCATCCATGGTGGCATGAGCCTGTGGTCCCAGCTACTCGGGAAGCTGAGGTGGGAGCTTCAACCCAGGAAGTCGAATCTATAGTAAGCCATGATTGTGCCATTGCACTCCAGCCTGGGCAACAGAGGAGAACCTACCTTCAAAAAAACCCCAAAAATCTACACACATATGTGTATATGTATATATAAAACTGTTGTGTGAAGATTTTGTTGTATGTCTGTCCTAGGTATATATGTGTATTTTTTAATATGAGGTCACAGCTTAAAAGTGAAAACTACCGATTTAATGGAAATACCTAACCACTCAATTCACATTATTTTTAAGCATTCATGTAACATTCACGAAAAACTGAAAATAAAGCAGATCTCAACAAATTTAAAAGTATTTGTATCACATCTACATCACACATGCCCTGAGCACAGTGCAATTAATTTAGAAATTAAGATAACGTATATAACATTCATCTGAAAACTTAACACACTTCTCAGTAACTTATAGATTGAAAAAGAAATCTTAAAGTTAGAAGATAACTTAGAAGACCAGGCTCGGTGGCTCATGCCTATAATCCCAGCACTTTGGGAGGCTGGAGGTGGGCAGATCACCTGAGATCGGGAGTTCAAGACCAGCCTGACCAACATGAAGAAACCCCATCTCTACTAAAAATACAAAATATTAGCTGGGCATGGTGGCATGTGCCTGTAATCCCAGCTACTCAGGAGGCTGAGGCAGGAGAATTGCCTGAACCCAAGAGGCGGAGGTTGCGGTGAGCCGAGATCGCACCATTGCACTCCAGCCTGGGTAACAAGAGTGAAACTCCATCTCAAAAAAAAAAAAAAAAATTAGCTGGGCGTGGTGGTACATGCCTGTAATTCCAGCTACTTGGAAAGCTGAGGCAGAAGAATTGCTTGAACCCAGGAAGTGGAGGTTGCAGTGAGCCAAAGGTTGCTGTGAGCCTAGATCATGCCATTGCACTCTAGCCTGGGCAACAAAAGCGAAAATCCATCTCGGGAAAAAAAGAAAAGAAAAAATAGGACTGAATTATAAAAATACTGTTTCAATTTTGTGGCGCATGATTTACATTGGTATTAGAGCAAAGTGTGTGTTGTATTTAAAAAGGAAAAAGGCTGAAAATGAGCTAAATATCTAGCTTAAAAAGTAAAGAAAAACTGAAAGAAGGCAAAAATTAATACAGAGCAGAATTTAATAGAATTAAAACAAAGATTCAGTAGAGATTTTTTTTCAAATCAAAATTTGGTTACAAATTGTTTAATTTTGACTAATTATATCTAGAGCAAGATTGCTCAAAAATAAAAGGGGCATAATAAATATGCAGAGATTAAAAAGAGATTCTGAATAACGTTATGATAAAATATTTGAAAATCTAGGAGAGATGGGCAATTTCTGGAAAAGCAAGTTACCAAAACTGATCTAATGGTAGAATGTAATGTGAATGGCATGCTAATGGCTAAAATTATTTAAAAAATTAAATAAGTAACTTAAAATCTTCCCACTAGGAAAATACCTGGCCCAGATGGTTTTACAAGTGAGGTAAACCAGCCACTTAAGACAACTAATTATAACACTTTACACAAAAATTTTATAGGCAACTGAATAAGTAGAAATACTTTTGTCAGTCTTTCTGAGAACCATGTAACCCTGATATCCAAACTGGACAAGAACAATACAAGAAAAGTAGGCCAGGGGCAGTGGCTCACACCTGTAATCCCAGCACTTTGGGAGGTGGAGGCCAGTGGATTACAAGGTCAGGAGTTCAAGACCAGCCTAGCCAACATGGTGAAACCCCGTCTCTACTAAAAATACAAAAATTAGCCAGGTGTGGTGGCACGTACCTGTAGTCTCAGTTACTCAGGAGGCTGAGGTAGGAGGATCGCTGAAACCCGGGAGCAGAGGTTGTAGTGAGCTGAGATCACATCACTGCACTACAGCCTGGGTGACAGAGCGAAACTCCATGTCAAAAAAAAAAAAAAAAAAAGTGTGTGTGTGTGTGTATTTTTATTTAAAAAGTATATATAAATTATATATAAATAAGCCCCAAAATAAAAGGATAGAAGATTCATCATGCAAAACTAACCAAAAGACAGCCAGTATAGTGTATTAATATCAGATAAAAAAGTACTTTAAGGCAAAAGGTCTTACTAGAAATGAAGAAGGTTGGCTGAGTGTAGTGGGTCACCTTTGTAATCCCAGCACTTTGGGAGGCCAAGGCAGGTGGATCACAGCTTAGCCAACATGGTAAGACCCCCATCTCTACTTAAGATACAAAAGGCTGAGGCAGGAGAACCTCTTGAACCTGGGAGGCAGAGTTTGCAGGGAGCCAAGATCATACCACTGCACTCCAGCCTGGGTAACAGAGTGAGACTGTCTCAAAAAACAAAAAACAAAGGAAATAAAGAAGCAGAATCGCTTGCATCCAGGAGTCAAGACCAGCCTGGGTGACATAGGGAGACCCCTGTCTGTATCAAAAATAAGTTGAACATGGTGTTGCATGCCTATAGTCACAGCTACTTGGTAGGCTGAGGTGGCAGGATCGCTTAGCCCAAGAAGTCAAAGCTGCAATGAGCTGTGATTGTGCCACTGTACTCCAGCCTGGGCAACAGAGCAAGACCCCTTCTCAAAAAAGAGGTCAGGGACTGGCCAGGCATGGTGGCTTATGCATGTAATCCCAACACTTTGGGAGTCAAAGATGGGCAGATTACTGGACGTCAGGAGTTCGAGACCACCTTGGCCAATATGGTAATGAACAGTACACAAATAGCCCATAAATATATGAGAAGACTTTTAACTTCATCTCATCAGCAAAAATCACAGTGGAGTACCGTTGGAAACCTATGAGATGAACAAAAATTACTACCAGTATTAAAATGATGTGGGGTAATGGAAACTCTTATGTGGTATTGATGGGATAGAAATTGGTAAACTCCAAAGTACAATCCAGCAACATTCTGGTGAAGTTACTGCACATCATTTTAATACTGGTAGTAATTTTTGTTCACCTTATAGGTTTCTAATAGTACTCCACTGTGATTTTTGCTGATGAGATGAAGTTAAATATCTTTTCATATATTTATGGGCTATTTGTGTACTGTTCAATGTTCCAACTGTATGATCCAGCTGTTCCACTCCTGTTCCACTCCCAGTTACATACTCCTGATATCCACCAAACTGGAAGAAATGCTTGTTCATGTACACTGAGAGACATTTCCAAGAGTATCTGCAGTACTGTTTATCATAGCAAAAAGTTGGAAGCAACCTAAATATCTGTCACTAGTAAAATGGATAATTTCCTAGTCCGCTCTACAGTCTGTTATTTTTGAGACTGTGTGGATGGTATAAACCAGTTGGTATAAAACCTTTGCCTAAAAAGGCAATGAAAATGAATTAAGGTATACATATAACTTGGATGAATCTCACAAACATAAGACTTCTCAAGGCTAGTTGCAGAATACATACAGTATGATACCATTTTTAAATGTTTCAAAACCCGCAGATGCTATATTGCTAAGAGAAACATACATTTGTAATGAAAATGCATAAAAGTACAGGGAAGACAAGGGAAATTATGAGGGAGTTTAATGTGTTCATAATGTTTCATTTTTTAAGCTGAGTATTAGGTATTTCTTATGCCTTTTTAAATACTGCTTACTGTAAAAGATTGAATGGATATGGAAATTGTCTAATAATTTTACTGAAAAAAAAATTGAGGTCTTGTTTATTTGTTTTCTGACTGGTAGTAAGTCTGCCCTCTAATGAGATCTTTAAATGGAAAGGGGTAACTTAGAAAGGAGTAACAGCATAGTAGTGGGGGTGGGTAGTTTAATTATTTTCACACAATTGAAGGCCTACAGCCTTTTCATTATGTTATAAGGAGTAAACTACTCTATAGTTTGTTATTTTTGAAACTCTGTGGATAGTATAAAACCAGTTGTTATAAAATGCCTTTTTCAAAGCAAAGGGTGATTTAGTAACCAGTGAGAGTTTCCAACCAAAATGTAACTTCCTTACATCAAAGCATCTGAGAGGGGAATGTATATTCTATTTTTGTGTAGCTGGTATGGAAAATTATTCTTCTTGGAAGAATACATATTTGTCCATGTTTTCTCCTTTCATATGGGTTTGTGTATCAGACTTTAGAACTGAATGATGTAATGATGCTGATCTTGTACTCTTAAGGGCTCCCTGGTTTATTTGAATTGATTTTTTTTAAACAAAGGTGTACGCCCCAAGTTGGGACGCCGGCATAGTATGGAAAATATGGAACTTATGAAGTTAACACCGGAAAAGGTGGGTGGCGGTTTTTATGTTTTAAATTGCATGAACTATTATAACATGTTTTAGTAACTTTTAATTTAATGAAATAATTTAAATAAGGCTTGCCCTATATAGATGCCACTTAAAAATTTGCCTTAAAAAAAATCAGAAAAAGTATAGTGCAAAAAGAATGCATATAGTATGCTGCCATCTGTTTAAGAAAAATGCCTGCATATATTTCTTTTGTAGATTCATAAAACATTCCTGGAAGAATATGTAAGAAACTGGCTAACCATTATTGCTTCTGAGAAGAGGACTGAGTGTCTGGGTTAGGCTAGAAATAATTTATATATCAGTTTGAATTGTTTACCATGTAAATGTATTTTTTTTTTTAAGAGATCAGGAAGATCAAAACAAGCTCTTTTTCCCCAACATCATAGCAACGTTATTGCCAAGATGAATCAAATCTATGATTAAGAGGAGAGTTGTTTTTCTAGCTGCATCCTTGAAAAGCATTTTTTTTTTTAAAACAAGTACTTTTGTATTGAAGATACATCTTCCCTAGGCTTTTTCTTGGGGGAGGTGGTACATAGTAAAAGGGAAGGGACTTCATAATTGGAAACAGGTTACTGAAGAACACATCAAGGCTACTTTCTTCCATTTCCTTTTAACTGAATATTACATTGTCAAATAGGCTCTTATTCTTTTGTGTGTATTTTTTTAAATTTATTTTATTTATTTATTTTAGAGTTGGGATCTCTCTCTGTCTCCTAGGCTGGAGTGCAGTAGTGCAGTAGAGCCATGGGCTCAAGCGATCCTCCTGGCTCAGCCTCCCCAGTAGCTGGGACTACAGGTGTACATCATCATGCCTGGCTAAGTGTTTTACTTTTTCAGAGACAGTCTCTCACTGTGTTGTCTAAACTGGTCTTGAACTCCTGGCCTTTAGCAATCCTCCTGCCTCAGCCTTCTGAGTTGCTGGTATAGCTGTGAGCCACTGTGCCAGCTGTGGTATATTTTTTAAAATACTTTTTATAAAATATCTTCATTACAGCAACTTTAGAAAATTTGAACACAGAAATCAAGATAATCAGTAATCCTGCCTCCTGATTGTAACTACAGTTATTTTGGCATCTATTCATCTGGCATTTTCATATGGATGTTGTAGACACTATAATATGAGGTAATTCTATCAAGAATATCTTTCCAACTGGGCACAGTGGCTCATACCTGTAATCCTAGCACTTTGGGAGGCCAAGGTGGACAGATAACTTGAACCCAGGATTTTGAGACCAGCCTGAGCAACATGGCAAAACCCTGTTTCTACCAAAAAAAAAAAAAAATATATATATATATATACACACACACACACACACACACACACACACACACTAGCTGGGCTTGGTGGCACGTGCCTGTAGTCGCAGCTACTTGGGAGGCTGAGGCAGGAGTATCATTTGAGCCTGGGATGTGGAGGTTGCAATAAGCCATGATTGTGTCACTGCACTCCAGCCTGAATGACAGAGTGAGACCCTGTCTCCAAAAAAAAAGAAACAAAAAGGAACATCTTTCCATGTCATTAAATATTCTTCTGCCCTATTATAACATATTTTTCAATAATGATAGTTTATGTGTGAATAGTCTTCAAAAAACCAACATATAAAATTGTGTTAGAATCATATCCAAGATATTTTTATTCCAGTCATTCACAGAGTTATTTGGAAACTCTAGTAATTTTTGAAGGACTTTGTGATTCTCCCAAAACGTCCAGCTGTTCTCTGAGTGGTTCTCAAATATAAATTTGTTAAATCCACATATTATGTTTTTAAAAAAGCTTTTAAGGCAATTTTAGTCTATGTTTTTCTTTTAGGAGCATACTAATAAGTAGCAAAAATAATCTATCTTCTGCCTACCTATGTGCTGGTACTAGCAGTGTTATGCAAGAAGCTGACCAGATTAGACTTTGTAATTCTCTAAGAGTCAACTGATAAAATTCTATCTTTAGTTTCAAATACGTTTAAGTGGAATTAGTTCTTTGTATTGGTTTCATTTCCTCATAAAAGCTGTCAAAGACTTCATTATTCTCAACAAAGTAAAGAAACATATGTAAGGAAAAAGGAAGATTTCTAGGTTAAGAGGCTTCCTGGGAGAGTATGCAGTGGGAGGGAACTTTTGAGGCTTTGATGCCTGAATTTGGATATGTGAAAATGTCTTTACTAACCTCACATTTGATAATTTTGCTGACTATAGAATTCTTGGTTAGAAATAATTTTTCTTCACAGTTTTTAAGACATTGCTTGGCCCTCTATTCTTGTTTTCAGTATTGTTGAGAGGTTCAAATAAATGTTTAGGAAGCATTTTCAATTTTTCTTCTTGGGTTTTGGGTGCAGCTTTATATTCTCACATCAAGGACCATTTTCCTTTTCTCTAAACAAAAGACCATGAAATCACTGTAGTAAATAACTTTCCCTTATGACCTCTATGTGAAAAGGAATCAATGTGTTGGTTCACTTACTAGCTACATGTTTTAAAAACAGCAATACATACACACACACACATACACACACACACACACACACACACACACATATACACATACATATATATGGGTTCTCACTGTTATCCAGGCTAGCCTCGAACTCCTGGGCTCAAGCAATCCTCCCGTCTCAGCCTCCTGAGTAGCTAGGATTACAAGTGTGAGCCACCATGCCCAGCTACATGTCTCACTCCCCTGTACATTTACTTCAATTTGTGCATTATGGGCACTTTTCTGGGTTGATGGAAATGTTCTATGTATTGTTTGGAGTAGGGGTTATATGGCTTCCAGTCATAGACTTAAATCTGTGCATTTGACTGTAAATTTTACCTATGAAAAAATGTGTCACTAAAGTTACTACATGGCATGAACCTTTAGAGTTACTTGTGAACATTTAAGACACCATTAAAGCTGCAAACGTCAGAGCTGTTGTATGTAGTGTGTATTTTTCCATTGCGCTCGATAAATGGTACTTATTTGTAGGTTGTCATATGTATTTAAACCAGATCTAGACCTATTAAATTGATTTTGCCTATTGATAATATAGTATGGTATTCATAAACACAAACCATTTTATTAAAAATTACTACTATGTTTTAGATATTTTTATGATTAAAAATTCTCCATCTAAAATTTCCAGTTGTAACAGATTTTTTAAGTAGCTCACGTCTAGAGTAAAACTTTGGCTCCTTCTCTGACCATTCATATTTTACTTTTATAGGGTTTTGGCAAATCTTGCTTTCTTATTTTAGGTTCTTAAAAACCAGCATTTTAATATTTTGATAATGAGGAATCCACAGTATGCACTGGGCATAAGCTCTTGAAAATAGTGCAGTATACTAAAAGATCTTTTTTTAAAGAGATCTAAAATTCTTCCTCTCTCCCCCAATAGTAAATACGTGAATATGTCAGATTAATATTATGGGAAACCGGAAGAGAGCTGGGGCTTGGGAGATGTTTTTTCACCTACTTTCCATTTGTAATATTTTTAGGTACAGAACTGGAACAGTGAAATTCTTGCTAAGCAAAAACCTCTTATTGCCAAACCTTCTGCAAAGCTACTCTTTGTCAACAGACTGAAGGGGAAAAAATACAAAACTAATTCTTCCACTAAAGTTCTCCAAGATGCCAGTAATTCTATTGACCACCGAATTCCAAATTCTCAGAGGGTATGTTTAAAATAGATTTTTTTTTCAAGTATTGTGTTTTGAGCACCTACATTTGGGTTTTCTTGTATTGATACTGGATTTTTAGTAATTTAAATTAGACATTTAACATAAAATATCTTTGTATTCATAGTTGCCTATCTTTTCTATCTTATTCAGAACTAGAAATGATAATTACTGTCCTAGTAGATAAACTGCTCCACTGTATTGGACAATAATTATTTCTTTTTCTTTTTTTCAAGACAGAATCTCACTCTGTCACCCAGGCTGGAGTATGGTCGTGCAATCTCAGTTCACTGCGACCTCTGCCTCCCGGGCTCAAGCGATTCTCTTGCCTCAGCCTCCCGAGTAGCTGGGATTACAGGTGGGGGTCACCATGCCCAGCTAATTTTTGTATTTTTAGTAGAGATGGGGTTTTACCTCCTAACCTCAAGTGATTGACCTTCCTTGGTCTCCCAAAGTGCTGGGATTGTGGGCATGAACCATCACGCTTGGCCAATAATTATTTATTTGAGTAACTATTGTTTGGAAAAATACTACCAGTTATTTCACTGCATTGTCTCCCAGTAAAACTACCCTCTACTCAGCTCAGAAGACAGACAAATTAAATTCAGATGCTCGAGGATTTTTAAATATTAGTTTAGAATGAAGTGTGTCTGTTAGCATCTACTTCTATTAATCACATTATTGAAACTATAATGATAGAATTACAAACTTTTGATGAAAAATGAGCCTAAGCAACATGATTAAACTCTTGTCTCTACCAAAAAATATATAGTTAGCTGGGCATGGTAGTGTGCGCCTATGGTCCCAGAGCCCAGGAGGTGGAGGTTGCAGTGAACTGAGATCATGCCACTGTACAACACTGTTGCCTGGGCAACAGAGCGAGATTGTGTCTCAAAAAAAAAAAAAAAAAAAGTAAAATGATCATAGCAATCAGTTAATTTATTTAGAAATTAAAATACCATGGGTTTACTCATAAGTATTGGGAAATCTCTAAGGCAGCTACCCTGTAATCTGATAAAAGGATCAAAGTAGGTTACAAAGAAGGTACTTCCATTTCCAAATCCATTTCTCTGCTGGGCACAGTGGTTCATGTCTGTAATCCCAGCACTTTGGGAGGTCAGGGTGGGAGATCTCCTCAACTTAGGAGTTTGAGACCAGCCTAGGCAATATGGTGGAACCCCGTCTCTACCAAAAATACAAAAAATTAGCTGGGTGTGGTGGCACACACCTGTGGTCCCAGCTACTCAGGAGACTGGGGTGGGAGGGCTTCTTGAGCATGGGAGGCAGAGGTTGCAGTGAGCTGAGATTGCCCCACTGCACTCCAACCTGGGTGACAAAGGGAGAACCCATCTCAAAGAAAATAAATAATAAAAAATAAAGTCAGATGGGCACGGTGGCTCACACCTGTAATCCCAATACTGTGGGAGGTCAAGGCGGGTGGATTATGAGGTCAAGAGATTGAGACCATCCTGGCCAAGATGGTGAAGCCCTGGAGGCTGAGGCAAGAGAATCGCTTTAACCCAGGAGGCAGAAGTTCCAGTAAGCCAGTATTGCACCACTGTACTTCAGCCTGGATGACAGAGCAAGACTTCTCAAAAAAAGAAAAAAAAAATCCACTACTGTGTCTTAGCCTCGTTCTTACTCTATTACCTAGATTTCAATAGGTACCTGAACTGATCTCCCTGCCTTCATTATTATATCTAAACAAAACTGATTAAAATTGACTACTGCCATTGCTCATCTTATTTCACTTAGGATAAAGTCTACATTTGTTAGTATTGCTTACAAAGGCCTCTTTCTTCCTCTGTACCTACCCCTACCCTTCAGTTCATCATCTCTTTAATACTACAAACTTTTTGGACTGCATATTAACTAGTATGAAACATCTCTCACCTGCAAATGCCTACTCATTCTTAAGGAGCCAACACAAATAAATGCTGTGAAAATTTCCCTATTTCTCCTAAAAGTTAGTTCCTCTGTCCTCCTCAGGCCCGTAACATTTTTTGTATATGTGCTTCTATTATACATCATTATGAAAAAAAAATAATTACTTGTATTAGACATTGCGTTCATCATTTCAGTTTTGAAGCCTTCCAAATGAAGAATACAGGTCTTCCTCTCCTCACAAATATTCATTTATTTGAAGTTTGTATTTTTTCAAGATCTTCAAATCTAATATAATAAAAAGACCTTAGAAATCACTATGCTAGGAAAATACACCTGTTTTCTTTCTTAAACAGCTCTTACAAAGAGATAAGTATATTTAAATTCCACTGTATTATAATATTTAGGACTGAATGTGGAGCCTGAAGTACAGGCCTGTATCACCAGTGTGTGCATAATTCAGTATCTGTAGCAGTTCTCTTAAGTCTGAGGTATGTTTCTTTAGCCTTAGAAACAGGAATGAAAAACTAGAAGTGCTTTTTGTTAGTTGGATTAAAATAGCCTTTTATTACCAATATTTTCCATCTTGTATTCTTTAAAAAGGTCAATTTAAATTTTTAATTTTTTTATTTTAATCCTTATCCTTTACTTTTTGTATTTGAATGAATCATGATGTTCACTGATGATCTAAAGATAATACTGGCATATTTCAAATGAACTGGACTTCCTCTCAATATTTTAGAAAATCAGTGCAGATACTATTGGCGATGAAGGGTTCTTTGACTTATTAAGCCGATTTCAAAGCAATAGGATGGATGATCAGAGATGTTGTTTACAAGAAAAGAACTGCCATACAGCTTCAACAGCAACTTCTTCTACTCCCCCCAAAATGATGCTAAAAAGTGAGTCATCTCTGTTTCTCCCCCAGTTTTAAAAGTTCTCTTTGATATGCTTGTGATTTATTTCTGAGACTTTAGTTATAGGAGATATGATAAATGAGCCTGAATCCAGGTGTATCTGAAATGCTGCTGTTTATACAGTTCACACAAGGTTTTTTCAGTTCCTTGAAGTATATCTGTGTTTTTAGTCCAGTGTGCTTTCATAACTATATCATACTACCTCCCTACTTTTCTTTGAAAAATCTTTTGGGGAAAATGTTACTGTGAGTCAGGTGTGGTGCTGCATGCCTGTAGTCTCAGCTACTTAGGAGGCTGAAGTGGGAGGATCACTGAGGCCAGGAGTTCGAGGCTATAGTTTGCAATGATTGTGTTTGTGAATAGCCACTGCACTCCAGCCTGGGCAACATAGTTAGAACCTATGTCTAAAACATATATAAAAATAAAATCTGGTTTTATTTATTTAGAGACAAGATCTTGCTGTTAGCTAAGCTGGAGTGCCTGGGCTTGATCATAGTCAGTGCAGCCTTAAACCCCTGTGCTCAAGTGATCCTCCTACCTCAGTCTACCAAGTGGCTGGAACTACAGGCACACACCACCATGCCCAGCCAATTTCTTTTATGTTTTTTGTGGAGACGAGGTCTTGCTGTGTTGTCCAGGCTGGTCTTGAGCTCCTGGCCTCAAGTGATCCTCTTGCCTTAGCCTCCCAAAGTGCTGGTATTCCAGGCATGAGCTACCATGCCCAGCCCAAATATAAATATAAATATTTTTATTTTTAAAAATAAAAATGAGGAGGAAAGATAGTTATACATACCTTGTGATTATATATAAAATGTCAATATTTCATATCTGGATTAAAAAAGAAAAATGAAGACAGACTGAAGAGGAACCTATGGCCAAGGCTGAGGCTAAGACCTGGCTGACTTAGAAAGGGCTAAAATAGGTTACTTAAATTTTTATATTTCAGCTACCAAAAGATTTCTTATACCATAGACCAAGACTTGCCAGCAGCACTTAACTGTTAGTTTGCTAGATGATTTATATCCAGAGCATGGAATAAAAAACACTGTCCCATACATCCTGGTCTGAAAAATGATGTAAGAAAAACAGTTCATTCACCTTCTAAAATCTAGTCACATGTCTTATAGTCACATTTTGAGTAAGCATTAAACAGATAAATACAACCAAATCTGAGTAACCTCCAAGTGGGTCATTTGAAGTACTCTGAGGCTCATTATTCCCTCCCACCAATAAAAACCGCACCTATCTAGCCAACATCAGTGTCAGCGCTATAGCTGGAGGGCAGGGCAGGTACTGGGACTAGCAAGGCCAAAAAGATCTAGGTATATAATAAATGTGCTTAGGGATTTTTTTAACCCCTGGCTTTATTCCGTTCTCAGCACCATCTGTTCCTGTGGTATCCCCCAACACGGATGAGTTTTTGGACCTTCTTGCCAGCTCACAGAGCCGCCGTCTGGATGACCAGAGGGCCAGTTTCAATAATTTGCCAGGGCTTCGTCTAACACAAAACAACAGCCAGTCAGTACTTAGCCACCTGATGACTAATGACAACAAAGATGCTGATGAAGATTTCTTTGACATCCTTGTAAAATGTCAAGTATGTCAGTATGTTTTTTTCATTCTACATACAGCTCAGGTACCATCGAGAACATTGGCAGTGTTATAATTGTCATTCAGGAAGGGCTTATTTTGTCCATCATTCAGTAAAATTTATTGAACACTGATTATGTTTCAGGAGCTATTCTAGGCACTGAGGATGCACTAAATTTTTTAAAGGATCTTACATTTTAGGACGCAGGAGGGGGTACGTGTGTGTGTGTGTATATATATATAGAGAGAGACAGTGTGTGTATGTGTGTTGTATTAGGTAATCGTACTTGCTATGAAGAACTTTAGAGGAGGAAAAAGGAACAGTGGGTAAGCAAAGGTGGTGGTGGCGGAGTGTCTGTTTTAGATAGGGTTAGAGAAGACCTTTCTGGATTGTCATTTGAACAGACATGAATACAGTGAAGCTGAATGCAGCAAAGCAGTCAGCCATGTGAGTATTTAGAGAAAGAATATTCCATGCAGAGGCAGCAAGTCCCCTCTTGGATATAAAAGCTTAGCCAGTTCAAGGAATGGCAAATGTGACGCATGGGATGAGGAGGGGAAGGGGGAAGAGAGGTATAAAATGATGATGGAGAGGTAATCAGGGCCTAGATTATATAGGCTCTTGGAGGCCACAATGAAGTCTTGTGTTTTAGATGTATTAGGGAGGTACTGGAAGTGTCCTCAAAAAGGATGCTGGCTACTGATAGAAGAATGTAGAGTGGCAAGACTGTTAGTATGAAAACCAGTCAGAAAGATAGCACAGTGATGCAGGCAAACAATATTGGTGATGTGGGCTCTAGTGGGGACAGTGAGAAGCAGTCAGCACAGGGCTGTATTACTAGTTATTACATCAGTTATATCTTATGGTTAGTTGGCAGGACCTATTAATAAATTGGATAGAGGGTTTCAGGGGAAGAGAGAATCAAGAATGACTTATACCTTGAGCAACTGGGAAATGAATGATTCTATTTACTGAAACGGAGATAACTAGAGGAGAAACAAGTTTGGGGAGAAAAAGCAAGAGTTCTGTTTTAGACATGTTCAATTTGGTAAGCTGTTAGCCAGTTCAAGGAAGGGCAGGTGAGACTGGCATAGACAGTGAAGTAGAGGTGTTAAATAGGCAATTTGATGTCAAATCTGGAGCCCAAGGGAGAATAAATTTGGGAGAGCCCTGGAAAGAAATTACCTAAAGAATAGGACAGAAAGAGGTCCAAGACTCAGCCCTGAGCATTTCAGAATTTACTAGGTAGATGGAGGAAGATGAGCTGGCAAAGTAGCAATAGCCGGAGAGTTCGAAGGATACCCCGAGCATGCGATGTGGTGGAAATCAAGTGAAGAATGTATCTTAAGCAATGTTCAGCTGTGGCAAATGTTGCTAAGAACCTGAGTCAGATGATAACTGAACCTACTAGATTTGGTAACATGGAGTTTATTAATAATTTTGAAAGATACTGTTTCAGTGGCATGGTGGGGACAAAGGATTGAGTGGGGTGAGAAAATAGGAAGTGTGAAAGAGGATATAGTAAATATAGAAAACTTTAATGAGTTCAGTGGACTATTAGCTAGAAAAGAAGTATAAGGCAAAAAATTTTTTTCTTATTTTGGGTGATAATAGAGTTTACAGACAGAAATAGTCAAGTAGAGAAGGGAGCCGGTGATGTACGTAAGTCTGGGATAATTGAAGAACAGTTTTTATGTAGGTGACAGAGAAAGCAGAGTACAGATTTGGAGATGGGAGCAAGTAGGAATTCTCTCTGGCTGCTTTTATTTTCTCACCAAAGAAGTGTAGAGTCATTCATTAAGATTGGGGTTGGGGAGCACTATAAATTTGAAGAGAAAGGAAGTGAGAAATAGTTGACTTAGAGAAACTGAAACTAGTGGAAAAGTTTTAAGAATACTGTGCTGTACTAAGAACCCACCTGAGGCCCAGTGCAGTGGCTCACGCCTGTAATCCAGCACTTTGGGAGGCAGAGGCAGACGGATAACCTGTTTCTTCTAAAAATACAAAATTAGGCTGGGCGTGGTGGCTTATGCCTGTAATCCCAACACTTTGGGAGGCCAAGGTTTCAAGACTAGCCTGGCCAACATGGTGAAACCCTATCTCTACTAAAAATACAAAAAATTAGCTGAGCATAGTGGTGGGCACCTGTAATCCCAGCTTCTGGGGAGGCTGAGGCAGGAAAATTGCTTGAACCTGGGAGACAGAGGTTGCAGTGAGCCAAGATCATACCACTGCTCTCCAGCCCAGGTGACAAAGTGAGACTCCTTCTCAAAAAAAAAGAAAAAAAAATATCCGGGCATGGTGGCACATGCCTGTAATCCCAGCTACTCGGGAGGCTGAGGCAGGAAAATTGCTTAAACCCGGGAGGTGGAGGTTGCAGTGAGCTGAGATCACACCACTGCTCTCCAGCCCAGGTGACAGAGTGAGACTCCTTCTCAAAAAAAAAAAAAAAAAAAAAAATTATCCGGGCATGGTGGCGCACCCCTGTAATCCCAGCTACTCGGGAGGCTGAGGCAGGAGAACCACTTGAACCTGAGAGGCAAAGGCTGTGGTGAGCTGAGATTGCACCATTGTACTCCAGCCTGGGCAACAAGAGTGAAACTCGGTCTCAAAAAATTTTTTAAAACCCCACCTGAAGCTCAGTCACTGGAAGCAAAACTGGTGAGTGAAGCTGTGTATTTTATCCAGTCATAACCAGCTGCTTGAGGCAGAGAGATAAACCAAGACTGATATTTTGCCAGGAGAACTGGATATAGGGGAGAGACTGGTAGTTGAAGACATGTGCCAAGAAGTGATTTTAATAATGGACTTTAGAATCCAGGCTGTAAGAAGGAAAATAAAGAAATGAAAGGTGTGAAGTAAAAAGTAGCAGTGGTCTCAGTAGATTCAAGGAATACTAAAGATATATAACAAATCATCAAGATATCTGAAGCAAAAATTAACAGAATTGAAGGGAGAAATGGAGAGTTCTACAAAAACAGTTGAGGAATTCAATATCCTGTGCTCATTAATGGATAGGACAACTAGACGGAAGATAAGGAAATGGAGGATCTGAAAAACAGAGTATGCCAACTAGGTCTAACACGTGTATATGGCACACTCCACCAACAACAGCAGCATGCACAGTCGTTTTAAGTGCACATGGAACATTTTCAGGTCAGTCCACGTTAGGCCATAAATTCTCAATAGATTTAAAACATAAAAAGTACCTTCTCTGACCCCATGGGATAAAATAAGCAGTAACAAAAGGAAAACGGGGAAAACACAAATTTGTGGAAATTAAACAGACTCTAAAACGACTAATCCATGAAAGACATCACAATGGAAATTGTAAAATAGAGACAAATAAAAAAATATACTAAAACGTATGGGACACAGCAAAGGCAGTGCCAAGGGGAAAATTCATAGCTGTAAATGTTTACAGTAACAAAAGATCTTGAGTCAACAATCTAACTTTACAACATAAAGAACTGAAAAAAGAACAAAACCCTAAACTAGCAGAAGGAAAGAAAAATAAAGATTATAGCAGAGATAAATAAAATGCAGAACAGAAAAAAATAGAAAAAATCAATGAAGCCAAGACTTTTTGAAAGTAGATTAACAAAATTGACAAACTTTTGGCTAGACAGACTAATTTTAAAAGAAGATTCAAATTACTAGAAATACAAACTTACCAAGAAGAAATGATGAAGAAACAGAAAATACACCATAAGAAGGAGGTTACATCAGTAACAGAAAACCTGATAAAAGCCCTGGACCCGATAGCTTTACTGGTGCATTCTATCAAACATTTAAAGAACTAACACCATGCCTTCTCAAACTGTTCCATCCAAAAACGGAAAGGAGTTCTGTCAGCTTCTGCCAAGGCAGGCGGATCACAAGGTCAGGAGTTTGAGACCATCCTGGCCAACATGGTGAAACCCCATCTCTACTAAAAATAGCTGGGCGTAGTGGCATGTGCCTGTAATCCCAGCTACTCAGGAGGCTGAGGCAGTGAGCTGAGATTGTGCCACTGCACTCCAACCTGGCAACAGAACAAGACTCTGTCTCAAAAAAAAACAAAAAAGGCAACCAAGATAAAATATTTGGAAATCACATATCCAATAAGGGATTAATATCCAGAATATATAGAGAACTCCTAAAACTCAACAGAAAACAACTTGATTCAAAAATGGGCAAAGAAAAGAATGGGCAAAGAACTGGAAAAGGCATTTCTATGAAGATAACAAGAGGTTAGACTATAACCATGAGAGCCAGATGGTTAAGGCTGAAGTGAAGGAGAACACTAAATCAGAAGTCTAGGAACTGAAGTGTTCAAGTGTTGGGTTAATTGGAGGACACTGAAATTATCAACTTAGGACAGGAGAAATGAGTGAACCAGGTATGTGTGGAGGCGGCACTGACTTAGGAGGGCAGTTAACTGTACCCTCTAAGGGTTGTGGGAGTAAATGTTGAGGGATTTATGTGCTTGTCACTGTCCCCGACAATGTATTGGTTACTCAAATATCAGCTATCACATTTTTATTCTTATCCTTGAGCTACAATGCCAGCATCTATGGTGTATACTTGTTAGTGCTTGTACATTTTATTTGATGAGTAGCGTGTCTAATGTAAGAATCACAGTCCAGGCATGGTGGCTGACACCTATAATCCCAACACATTGGGAGGCTGAGGCAGATGGGTCACAGGTCAGGAGATCAAGACCATCCTGGCCAACATAGTGAAATCTGGTCTCTACTAAAAATACAAAAAATTAGCTCGGTGTGGTGGCAGGCACCTGTAGTCCCAGCTATTCGGGAGGCTGAGGCAGGAGAATCGCTGGAACCCAGGAGGCAGAGGTTGCAGTGAGCCGAGATTGCACCACTGTACTCCAGCCTGGTGACAGAGCAAGACTTCGTCTAAAAAAAAAAAAAAAAATTCAGTCTGGGCTATTTCTTAACAGATTTAACTGCCTAAGACAGAGGCAGGCAAACTTTTTCTGTAAAGGGCCAGATAGAAAGTATTTTACGCTTTGCAGGCCATATGGTCTCTTTTGCAACTGCCCAACTGCCATTTAGTAGGAAAGCAGCCATATAGACAATATATAAACAAATGTATTGATGGGAAAATGAAAATGACACCTCATTTACAGAAGCAGGCATTTGCTGTCTCCTAGCCTAAGATGTGATTTTTTTAATGTGGTTCCTCATGGATTTTGTACATATTTCTAAAGACTTGGTGTTGCCCTGTTGATGCGTGTTAGTTTAGAACCTAAAACTGTTATATACAGTTGACCTTGTCTCAGATTATTCCTTGTGACCAATTATAATTAAAATAGTATGACTTAATATAATGCACATACTAAACCCATGAAGCAGCTATTCTTATGTAAGCAGCTATACTTAATTCATTTTTTAAAAAGAATTTTATGTAGTTTGAGGTCTAAAGATTAATTTCTGAGAAGCCAAAAAAATAGCTTACAACTGCATTTTCTTGTTATGACTGACAGAGATATTACATAGCTTCATGCTTTTTTTCCCCACAGTATGTCTTTAAATTTCTTTCTCATAAACTTTTAGGGATCCAGGTTAGATGATCAAAGATGTACTCCGCCACCTGCTACCACAAAGGGTCCGACAGTACCAGATGAAGACTTTTTCAGCCTTATTTTACGATCTCAGGCAAAAAGAATGGATGAACAGAGAGTTCTTTTACAAAGAGATCAAAACAGAGACACTGACTTTGGGCTAAAGGACTTTTTGCAAACTAATGCTTTGGTGGAGTTTAAAAATTCAGGGAAAAAATCAGCAGGCCACTAGTTACTATGGATATATTTTTTTCCTTTCAGAATACGGTAAGGAAACAATCTATTACTTCTTTCCTTAAAAGAAGAATTTATAGCTCTGTAATACAGCTTACAATATTTTTAGAATAATGTAAATATTTAACCTTCAGTAGTCTATTATTAAGGCTTTAATACTTCTCTGGACACTCACGTGTTTCAAGGTGGAGGTGTCCTGTAAGGTGCTTCATCATCTGTGATTATTACTTGGGATGTGTTCTTTGGCAGCTTGTTAGATTACTTTACCTAGTGTTTGTGAAGTAGGAAGTTAAATGAATCATAGATTAGAATTTAATCCTCTTACAGAAGTTTTTAAAATCTTAATTGACAATGGCATTTTTTAATATACAACCATGGATGTAGTGGGAAACAATGCTGTTTAGTAAAAATAATGTACTTGACCAATGTAAAAAAGTATATAAAAGTCTTATTAAAAAGCTAGGTTTTTTTCTCCATGAAAATCTATTTTCAGTACTTTTTAGGCCAAAGCCAGTATAAAGAAACTCTTAAGTAAACTTCTTGGGCTAGGCATGGTGGCTCATGCCTGTAATCCCAGCACTTTGGAAGGCTGAGGCAGGAGGATCACTTGTGGATAGTTCAAGACCAGCCTGGGCAACATAGTAAGACTGCCATCTCTATGAAAAATACATTAGCAGCCAGGTGCAGTGGCTCAGGCCTATAATCCCAAAACTTTGGGAGGTTGAGATGGGCAAATCAGTTGAGGCCAGGAGTTTGAGACCAGCCTGGCCAACATGGTGAAATCCCGTATCTATTAAAAATACAAAAATTAGCAGGGCTTGGTGGCACGCGCCTGTAGTTCCAGCTACTTGGGAGGATGAGGCAAGAGAATCGCTTGAACCCTTGGGAGGCAAAGGTTGCAGTAAGCCAAGACCAAGCCACTGCACTCCAGCCTGGGTGAAAGCTAGACTCTCTCTCGCTTTAAAAAAAAAAAAAAAATTATATATATATATATATATATATATATCAGGCATGGTAGCACACACCTGTAGTCCCAACTACTTAAGAGGCTGAGGCAGGAAGATCACTTGCGCCCAGGTGGTAGAGGGTGCACTCCAGCCTGGTGACAGAGCAAGACCCTGTCTCTAGAAAACATATCTTTTGTATGTTTTGGCTATATGTTAAAAAATATATACATATGTATCATTTAAAATGGTCTCTTCTGTTCCATAATACTGCTATAAAACAAACTTTTGTTAAGTTATCATGTTTAAAAAAAAAAATGGTTAGATCAAGAACCTAGAACACATAACAGAAAACAGATGACAACTCACAGAAATTCAGTATGAAAGATGTCAGCTAGAACTTTAGTGGTCATTAAGCCTTGTCTTCCTTATCCCAGATACTTAAGGCAGTTCAGAAGGGGAGGATAACAGAGTAACTGTAGCAAAAGACGAGAATGGGACAGAGCAGGGCCTGGAGTGATACTGAATCAGACTGCAGAAGCCCACCCCTGGAACAAGCTGGCAGTTTGTCCCACTCTGCTTGCACAGCTGGGATGGGATCTGGGGATGTGGACCCCTGTTCAGAGTCACTCGGGTGATTTTGATGGGCAAACAGAACTACTTATCTAAATGGCCAATGTTTTTTTTTAAAAAAAAAAAAAAAGTCAAAATCTGGAATTACATTAAGGGCTGAGTTGAAACATGGATCACATTATGTTTCATGTATACTCTTAGGGTATGATGTCCTGGATAGCATTTTAAAAACTCAGGTAAGTTTCATGGGGCTTTTCTTATAAGAAAATTCAGTAACACAGTATACCAAACCCCAATGTAAAAATAAGTTTATTTTATGTATACAATATAGTTCTTACAGCCTGTAAATACTCAACATCATTCCATTTAAACATTGATTTTAACAGCTGTCTACCTTGTTTTGATTTTCCTAAAGCTTCCCACTATATAGGCTGGGCACGGTGGCCCATGCCTGTAATCGCAACACTTTGGGAGGCTGATGAGGGTGGATCACTTGAGGTCAGGAGTTCAAGACCAGCCTGGCCAACATGGCAAAATCCCATCTCTACTAAAAATACAAAAATTAGCCAGACATGGTGGCGCACATCTGAAATCCCAGCTACTTGGGAGGCTGAGGCAGGAAAACCGCTTGAACCCAGGAAATGGAGGTTGCAGTGAGCCAAGGTTGCGCTGCTGCACTCTAGCCTGGGCGACAGAACAAAACTCTCAGAAAAAAATAAAATTTTAAAAAAGCTTCACACTCTAAACCTTAATTTTAATGACATATTGCCTAGTCAATAGACAAGCCTTACGTCTTTTCTGGTAATAAACTGGCCTTATGTGTTCAGTTTGCTTTCATATTTAAGTCTTTCCTGAATTGCTGTCTTCATTCAATAGCAGCTGCATGGTGCCTTGCTAGGTGTCAAAGTAGGTTTCGTCCCCAGATGGATATCTGTAACGAAAGAATACAAAGGTAAAATTTTACTTCACATTTTTAAAAAATTTTTGTTTTTGGATTAAAAGGCAGTAACTGCAAGCAGCATTAATTCCACTCACAGTTACAGTCCATCACCTGGGGATTCACTACTTTTCAGAATCAGATCACAGATCAAAAGACAGATCTCACCATGGGGGCATATTCCCCAAACAGTGTGAACACATCTTGTCCCCAGAGGACTACTTTATGTGCATGGATGTTCACAAATTTATTCTGAACCACAGGTGTCTGTCAGAATTCATTTGTTACATGCCCACTGTGTTAAAAATCTTAAAATCCTTTTGCACTTCTTAGGAAAAAGAAAACCTTTCTGATGAAATACTAAAGATGTTTACAGTATTAAACTAGAATATATTAATATGTATAATTTTTTTCGACAAGGTCTTGCTTTGTCACCCAGGCTGGTCTTGAATTCCTAGGCTTAAGTCATCGTCCTGCCTTGACCTGCCAAAGTGCTGGGACTGTAGTCATGAGCCACTGCACCTGGCCTAAAATGAAATTGTTACAGGCATGTAAGTAACACTTCTTGGATCCAAAATGTGTATTCTGCATTTTATATTTTTTTTAAAAATCAAAATTGCTTGGAATACAAATGTCTGCATGAAAATTCAAAGACTTTATTCCTGACTGGTTATCATTTTAAGCTAGCAGCTGAACATAGCTTGTAGTTGTAAATATGGTTAAAACAAATAATTGATTTTTATGAAATCTGCTTGCTAAGGACAGGTACAAAATTTATGCATTGCTTTTTAAAAAGTTTAAAATGTACAATCAGAAGAAGGGCACAAAAAAGGGAAAAAAAACTTTAAAATGAGGAATGCTTTTGATAATCAGAAAGACTAAAGTGCTGACTCATGGCCTGTCTGCAGTTAAGGAAGGCACCAAACTCTATTTTTTCATCATGGTATTCTCTGTGTAGAGATCTCTAAAAATTCAAATGTCCTGTGGACAAAACAATATGATTTGCTGTAATATAAATAAGATATGCAAATATCGAACAGTCTCCACTGCTAGGATTCTGAGTAACAAGAAACAGAGGTCTTATAAAAAGCCCATACACTTCATCTGCTGGGAACAGAAAGAAAGTCATTTTCAGTTGACTGACTCTGTAAAACAGATTACCAATATAACAAGCTATGTTATCTAAATTGCCCTGGCAGTCTTCAGTTTTGTCTAAGTAAACAAAAGGGAAAATCAGGATGCAGGCCTAGTAATAGCTGCAGAAAAGATGAAACTACAAGGCCACAGTGACCTGTGGGCAGCCTACGCAGAGACAAGCTGAGGTGTCAGACTGATCTAGTAACGCATACTCCATGGCTGCAGGAAGATGCTGGAGTGCATCAAGTGGGTGGTCGAAACTACAGTGGGTTCCACTAGGCAATGTAAGTTGGTTAGTGGGTTCCTGTACATGCCTGTAACAATAAAATTTCTTTTCCAATGTCCCCCATTGCAACTGGCTCCTTAACTATCCAGAATCAGTGATGCCTGCCATCTGTTCATCTTAAAACATAAATTCTGAGACTTTTCTAAAATTAGCACTTCCTACTACATACCAAAGATGAAATCAAAAGCTTTTATATACATACATGTGTGTGTTAATTCTAATTGTCAGTAAAAATGTGAATGTTGAAGTTGGCACCTGTGTAGTGATCAGAATACTTGCAGATTAGAGAGAATAGAGAGTATACTTTACAAAGCTCGAAGAAGACTTGAGAGGTGTCGCTTGTGCTGTTGTTCCTCTAGCCACAGGGGCTGCTGACTGGATCCTGTCCATGTGGTCCAGCCATACTTCTTGCTGGGCTGCATGTGCTGCCTTGGTCTGGGCTGTCCTTGGCTTCCGACGTGAGCTGGGCCTTTTCTGCTGCAGGTGGACCTTCTGTATTCCCTGATGTGTCTTGGCCAGAGACAGGCTTAGCAGACTGGCTGCTTTCAGTACTGCTTTCTTTCAGTGTGCCTTCCCCAGGAATTCCACCAGTCTCCGTGGGCTTTGTATCCAAAACAGGTGATTTATGCTATAAAGTACAAAATTACATGTGTTTTAACCATTTAATGTAATGTGGAGTCTTAGTAATCAAACATACCTTACAAGTTCCACCTAAATCCATTGTAGCAAGCTCCAGACTCTGTCAAATCCAGGGTCCAGTGCTGGATTATAACTATATAAATGTTATTAAAACCTCACCATACTCTACAGGAGAACTCCCACGGAAGAGTGGGAACACTTAGGGCATACTCGGGTCTACTGGCCCAGCTTAGAAGGGGTCAAGAGAATTGGTAATCAGTATTGTTAATTTCTCTTGCCTGGTGAGAATAATTCATTTGACAAATATTTATTGAGCATATATTAAGTTCTAAGTGTTAGGGATACCGCAGGAACAAAATACATAAAACTGTTCTCACTGGAACTATATTTAGGTTAGAAGAAAATCACGAGTATGATATATATATTGAATTAAGGGGGCTATGTAGAAAAGCAGAAAAGAGATGAGTGCTGAATGTGGGGTGGGTGGGCTGGTAGGGTCAAATTACAGTTTAAGGTGGTCTGAAAAAGTGACGAGGCTGGGCATGGTGGCTCACACCTGTAATCCCATCAATTTGGGAGGCCAAGGTGAGAAAGTACTTGAGGCCAGGAGTTTGAGACCAGTCTGTGCAACAGCAAGCCCCCCATCTCTACAAAAAATAAAAAATATTAGCCAGGCATGATGGCATATGCCTATATTCCTAGTTACACAGAAGGCTGAGGCAGAAGGATTGCTTGAGCCCAGGATTTTGACGCTGCAATAAGCTATCGCACCACTGCACCCCAGCCCTGGCTGGGGTGAGACCCTGTCTCCAAAAATAATAAAAATGAGTAAAGGCCTGAAGAAAGTTACCATATGCTATATGAATGAACACTGTAGAGTGTGAATGGCAGGTACAAAGGCTCTCAGTTCAAGGAACAGTCAGGAGCCCTTGGGCTGAAGCAGAGTGAGCATGGAGGTACAATAGGAGGTGACCAGAGAGGCAGTAGATGTGGGGGAAGGAGAGACCAAGGAGGCTTTTAGGCCATTGTGATTAAGTGGCTTTCCCCTCAAGGGAGATGGAAGTCACTGGAAGACTTCTGAGATGGGTGACAGGTAACAGTCACCCAGGCTAGAGTGCAGTGGCATCATCTCAGCTCACTGCAACCTCTGCCTCCTGGATTCAAGCAATTCTGCATTAGCCTCCCAGATTAGCTGGGATTACAGGTGTGCACCAACAGGCCTGGCTAATTTTTTTCTATTTTTAGTAGAGGGGGGGTTTTGAACTGCAGACCTTAAGTGGTCTGCCCGCCTTGGCCTCCCAAAGTGCTGGTAAGGACCACGCCTGGCCCATCTTAAGGTTTTCTAGGTACATATAGATACGTTTATTTTTATATGAACTCTATGGGAAGGGATTCTATAGTTTCCCAGATTCTATTATGCTCATAACTATTTCAAAGGTTTACAGCTGCAACTTAAACTTTTCAGGCGACAATAAAAAACAGACTGATAATGGTGAGAAGTTTCTAACCATTCTACAGGTAAAAAGTATAGTCTAGCCAGCCAATGACACAGAAGATTTAGAAAAGCAATGTTTTTGATCCCTGGTCCCAGTCCACTCTTGCATTCAGCTAAGCCTTCAGGGCTCTACTACGCCTTCCCTAGAGCTCCAGGCCTTCAGTGATGCCTCCTCTCTGATTTCTTCAAAGACAGAAATTTCAGTCATGCTCACATGCTGGCTTCCCATGAAGGTTCCTATGAATTACCATCTGTTCTAAGAAACTACTGTTACATTGTATTTTACATAAAAGTTAAATCTAATTTTTCTTCTGAGGAAGCTGAACTAACTTTTGACCAGAAATGGGAGCGCGAGAGTGAATTATATCACTCAGGATATAACAGGATGAAGGGTAAAAGAGCAGACAGAATTCTTTCAGAAGCATTCAGGACCAGTAACGAAGGGACCGCAGAATAAACAGGTGCTGACTTACAGTGGGTACCACCGTGGGATGCTCTTGTGCCTCTGCGTCTGGTAAATCAAATGCCCGAAGCACTTCAGGGCTCCTGTTGCCAGTCTGAAATTTCAAGTCAACATCTCTCTCTCTCAAAATCTCTCTTCTACTCTCATATGTTTTGGCATAAGGGCCTTGCTCAATGGGGCCAGTTTGTCCTCTATAATGGAAAGCTGCATCACCTGCTCCACCATCGAGTCTGTAATCAATTTCCTTCTGCCGTCTTCTATCCCGTAGCTGACGTGCCAGGGGAGGTTCTTTCTCAGGACCACCTATATGTCTCAGCACAGGAACTGATTTTCCAGCACCATAGCAGAAACTCTATAAGGAAAAGAAATACATTTTCCTGAGGACTTAATGGCTAACTTACAAAGAGGTTATGAGGCATTTTATTCAGTGTTAAAAAAAATATGTAAATGTAATTTAATTTGTGGCATTTAGACATAATTGTTAATTTGTAATACAGGCCCGAGTGATTTAATACATCGCTCAGTATTCAGTAGACATTTTAATCAGCTAGACACATTCTGATTGAACTGTAACAATGGCAGGCTGAAGCCTAGATATTTAAATTAGTAGGTTCTAGTTGTCTGATAATTATTCATGTTTCTAGATTCATGCTCATCATAAAAGGTAAATGCTAAAAGTAAAGTTGTATATCATTATGTAAACAAGCTCCTGTACACTTATTTTTTACAAATACAAACGAGGCTTAAGTTACAGCTAAAATTCAACAGGTTTTTATTCACATTCCATGGGAAAAAGTAGGCAGCAATTCTGACAGTGTGGCCCAGGGACCCCCTCGGGGGATACCTGAGACTTTCAGGGGATCTGTGAGATCAAAACTTTTCATAATACAAAGACATTGTCTTTCTCACTGTCCCGTCATGAGTGCACAATGGGATTCCAGAGACTCATGGGATACGTGGTTGTGTATACAGTGTCCGTATTTTTAAAATTTGTTTTAACTCCTAATATATAAATATCAATAAATATAATCACCTTAAGAGCTGTTTGTGGGCTTCAATTTTTAAGACTACAGAGGTCCTGCGAACAGAAACTTTGAAAATTTCTGTACTAGTTTTTCAAATACTACTATTTGAAGACAGAAGCAAAAATCAAAGAGTGAAACTTTCCTTAGGGAACATAAGAAACAAAAACAGATGAAGATTCTGCTGATAATTTCAGTTTCAGAAACTAAACTACGACTATAGAACTAATGTCACCTAAAAAGTACCCATCAACCACTGAGTCCTGGAATCAAGCCAAAAAACAAAAACCAAAAAAGGAATGATTTGAAAGTGAATAGAGCATGGTGCATCTTCTATCCTTAGGGAGGAGAATTTCCCATGGCACATCTAAGTTCTTTTTGTTTTATGCAACAACTGCTTTACTTGGGTAATAGCTAAAAAATCAACAACAAAAACACTGAATAGACCACGGATGAATGACAAGTAATAGTTCTTCTTAATAAATGCCTGCTCCTAGATCCCCAAACTCTTTCTCAGTATACCCAGATTCTTCCAGATCTCTTTCTGGTTCTATGTCAAACTCAATGCTCTTCCCTTCTCAGTGCTGCGAAAACAGACTAGAAATAAGAAGGCCCCTTTCTCAAGGAGGCAGTAATCAACTTCCTATTTCCTGCGTGCTAATTCACCAAGGTTAAAGAACAAATTTAAAAAGACGTTATTATTCTAAACCACTACTACAACGTATGCAATCAAACTAGAGAAATACTTTCTTGATTAGGAAAATATACAGGTAAGTCCACGCTGGCCACCATAGCGAAACCCCATGTCTACTAAAAATACAAAAATCAGCCGGGCATAGTGGCGCATGCCTGTAGTCCCAGCTACTCATGAGGCTGAGGCAGAAGAATCACTTGAACCCAGGAGGCGGAGGTTGTAGTGAGCCAAAATTTGCACTACTGCACCCCAGCCTGAGCAACACAGCGAGACTCCATCTCAAAAAACAAAAAAAGGAAAAATATACAAGTACAATAAATCTGTATCACTTAGAGGGGTGGACGGGAGGAAAAAAATCTGTATCACTTGAAAATCATCTTCTCATTAAGTGTAACTTAGCCTGATTTACAACATCAAAGAACCCCAATAATTTTAGCATTGCCTTTTCTCTGTAAATCTTGCTAAGTACTGACAGTGCTAATATATTAATACTAACCAGGACAGCTAATGCCATAATCATCAGCACTGGAAGATGAAGCAGTGTTGGAATTTCCTTCATGAGTGCTTTAATAAATTCCCCAGTTCCTTTTCCAATGTGCTTCAGTGGCTCCGTTACAAATGTGGTGAATGTCACAGCAAGTGCCTAAAACAAGAGAAAAGCAAAAACAATTTTCTCCGCACACGACTAAAGTACAGAATGAGTCAAAATTCATTGTGTATTGAGGTGACATAAATTAAAATGTGCCATTTTTAATGTGAAAATCACTGTGCAATAGTATTTTTTCTTGGACAAAGGCTTCTTATCAGCAAAATAACACTAAATTTCTTTAAAATACAGGGGATTTCTGATTTATTTTGTATAAGCAATTTTTATAAAATACATACTATATACCTTTGTTGGTGGAACCAACCAAATGGGGTTGACTAGTAAGAGCTCATAGTATTTTTGGCATGGGTCATCCTTATAGGTCCATGAAATTCTCAACCATTCTGTTTAGAGAAACAGACAAAACACTGGTCATTTTTTTAATGTTGTATTTCATCCCCAAATAAGACATTACTTTGGTTTTGATCCTCCCTGACCACCCACAAATACTGATTTTTAAATTTTTCATCTTATGTCCAAAACCATGTTTTAAAAATCCATTCAAATTATACATGTTTTATGCAGATAAATTATATTTTATAAAAATGTCTAAAAGGTAAATACTTTAAAAGCAATGCTTCACACACAAATGAGTACAGGTAAAATGGGAAGTCTAAATAAGACTGGTGGATTGTATCAAAGTCAATATCCTGGTTCTGATACTGTTTTGTTTTTTGAGATGGAGTCTCTGTCACCCAGGCTCAAGTGCAGTGGCACAATCTCGGCTCACTGCAACCTCCACCTCCCAGGTTCAAGCGATTTTCCTCCCTCAGCCTCTCAAGTAGCTGAGATTACAGGCGTGTGCCACCACACCCAGCTAATTTTTTGTATTTAGTAGAGACAGGTTTCACCATGTTAGCCAGGATGGTCTCAACCCCCTGACTTCGTGATCCACCCATCTCAGCCTCCCAAAGTGCTAGGATCACAGGCGTGCGCCACTGCACCCAGCCCGATATTATACTATTAAGGCTGTGTAAGATGTTACCATTGGGGGAAAATGGAGAAAGGGCACACAGGCTCTTGCTGTAGTATTTCTTACAACTGCTTGTGAATCCACAATTACCTCAATAAATTTTTAATTTAAAAAGCCAGTACTTTATGGAGTTTACAAAATAAGAACACTGGTTCTAATTTTTCCAAGTCAGGCTTATATACATTGGGAAACTAGCCCGAGCTAGAGGAGGCATTTCACTGTCTACTAAAGTCAGGAAGCAAGGCTGAATTGGTTTAGTTCCCACAACTTTTTTTTTTTCTTTTCTGAGGCGATGTCTCACTCTGTCGCCCAGGCTATAGTGCAATGGTGCAATCTCAGCTCACTGCAGCCTCCGCCTCCCAGGTTCAAGCAATTCTCCTGCCTCAGCCTCCTGAGTAGCTGGGATTACAAGTGTACACCACCATGCCTGGCTAATTTTTTGTATTTTTAGTAGAGATGGGGTTTCATCATGTTGGCCAGGCTGGTCTCAAACTCCTCACATCATGATCCACCCACCTCAGCCTCCCAAAGTGCTGGGATCCACAACTTTTTAAGAAATTTATTTTGGAACCCATCTATAGAATTCTGTGTCAGTCATGGCCTTGCATTTATAAAATGCCTTAGAATAGTATTAAACCATTGCCATTGCTAGATATACACAACCAGAGGTACTGAACATTCATGAGAGTATTTATAAAATGTGGAAGAATAAAAAACTCAATGTGTTTTCCCTTAGTTAAGAAGTATAGTAAAGCTACAACATAAAATTTCACAAGTCAATATAAGGCCATCAAACTTAAAATGGATATTAATTCATATATACATTCATTCACTTGTTTAATAAACTTCTAGTGAGGACCTAGAATATACCAGACACTGTGCTAAGGACGACATGAACAAAAGCGAGCACTGGATCCTTCACAGTCTAATGAAGGAAGATAGATAATATCAGAGTCAACACATATACAACCTCTATTCCTTCCCTGTGACTTTACATGAACACGAAAAGCCACCGTTTTTTAAATTTTTTTTAACTTTTTCAGGCACATGCTCAGTGTGAAGGTCACTGGTTTGAAACCTGAAACGCTTCTTGCATGTTCTTCTGATATAAAAGATTCAGTCATGAAAAGCCTCCTCTGTTATTTTATCATTTTCTTTGTTCTATGTTCTCTCATTCTCAGAATTTCTATTCAAAATAAGGCCAAGTGCACAAACACCTTACCCCAGATACTTCCAGTCCAGTCCATCTTCTCGGCACACACATTGTTAAATGGCTCCATCTTGGCGACTTCGGCCTGATGCTGTGCAAAAGCTAGCTGACCGAAAGGGAACCAGGAGAAGCCATTACCAATGAAGGTTAGGCCTACACATCCAAAAGACCTTCATTCAAAGAGTGTCTTTACCATTCATTCAAACCAGACTATTTTAAAATTTTCAATCAAAAAACCAATTTTTTTTTTCTGAGACAGAGTCTCGCTCTATCGTCCAGGCTGGTATGCAGTGGCATGATCTCAGCTCACTGCAACCTCCACCTCCCAGGTTCAAGCAATTCTCCTGCCTCAGCCTTTCAAGTAGCTGGGATTACAGGCGCCCGCTACCACGCCCAGCTAATTTTGGTATTTTTAGTAGAGATGGGGTTTACCATGTTGGCCAGGCTGGTCTCAAACTCCTGGCCTAAAGTGATCTGCCCACTTCGGCCTCCCAAAGTGCTGGATTGTAGGAAAACATTATTTTTAAAGAGTAGCTATTTTCAGCTCATGGAAAAGTACAGCCTTAATGCAACAAGTAACCATAAAGTAGTACTAACTCCAATTGCCTTCTCTGTAAGTAATTATAATGAAAAAGGAAAACTTTACTAAAAACATTGTTTTTAAATATTAGATCAACCAGGTGTGGTGGCATGCACCTGCAGTCCCAGATAGTCAGGAGGCTCAGGCAGGAGAAACACTTGAACCCCAGAGGCAGAGGCTGCAGTGACCCGAGATTTTGCCATTGCACTCCAGCCTGGGGGACAGAGCAAGACTGTCTCAAAAACAACAACAAAAATTAGTTCTAGCGATACAAATTAAATGACTACTTCTTTATTTTATTTTTGAGTCAGAGTCTTGCTCTGTCACCCAGGCTAAAGTGCAGTGGCACAATCTTGGTTTACTGCATCCTCCACTTCCCGGGTTCAAGCAATTCTCTGCCTTAGCCTCCTGAGTAGCTGGGATTACAGGTGCCCGCCACCACACCTGGCTAATTTTTCTATTTTAGTAGAGATGGGGTTTCACCATGTTGGCCAGGCTGGTCTTGAACTCCTGACCTCATGATCCAGCCACCTTGGCCTCCCAAAGTGTTACAGGCGTCAGCCATGGTGCCTGGCCCTTATTTTCTTTTATAGTTCATAATATCCTATTTTGCACTAGATACTTTCCAGCACAATGACCAATACAAAATCACTGAGGTGACAATACTCAAATAACTTTTCCTTCCACATGGAATCTGTTTTTAATTTGTAAATAATTAGTTCTAGATACTTTAATACTTAAGGCAAAAGGTTAAGGAAATGTCACAATGCTTTAACCAGATAAAATCATTGAAAATACTTCGCTACTTGACTCACTCTCTAGGAAGATCTAAAATTTTCTTTCAATGATTATGCTATGTTGATGGGAATAGTAGTGGTCCTTTCAAATTTCTATATACAGTATAATCCCAATTTTGAAAGATAAAATCTAGGAAAATCTGGAAAGAAATAGCTCAAAATATTGACAGATTATCTCTAGGTGTTAAAATTATAGGTGATTTTAAAAATTAATTTCTTTGTATCGTTCTGTCTTTTTGAAATTCTCTGCCATGAACATACTACTTATATATTCAAAAAATAACCTAATTTTTAAAAAATAATATTTTGGTATCATTTCTAGCAAAGAATAAAATGACATGCCCTAAATTACCTACATGAGAATTTTTAAATGTGTTCACTTAGCTTTATTTCCCACCCCACCCCCACCTTTTTTGAGACAGACCTCACTCTGTGGCCCAGGCTGGAGAGCAGTGACACGATCTCAGCTCACTGCAGCCTCCCAGGTTCAAGCAATTCTTCTGCCTCATCCTGCTGAGTAGGTGGGAGTAGGCACATGCCACTACTCCCGGCTAATTTTTGTATTTTTAGTAGAGACAGGGTTTCACCATGTTGGCCAGGCTGGTCTCAAACTCCTGACCAAGTGATCTGCCTGCCTCAGCCTCCTAAAATGCTAGGATTACAGACATTAGCCATCATGCTCAGCCCTCCTGGCTGATGTTAACAGTAGTAACTAGGTTATGAAAATTAGGACTGAATTTTTTACCCATTAACTGGTCAAGGAATCAAAAAAACAGTCAACTAAGAATTGTCGATTTAATTCCTCCGTACCATGGACCACCTCTAATCACTGCCTCCAACCCACAAAAAAGGCAAGATTGCTCTCAATGGATTAGTATTCTCTTATGGTGAATAAATGTGTTAAAACTGTAAAACTTAAAGGCCGGGCGTGGTGGCTCAAGCCTGTAATCCCAGCACTTTGGGAGGCCGAGGTGGGTGGATCACGAGGTCAAGAGATCGAGACTATCCTGGTCAACATGGTGAAACCCCATCTCTACTAAAAATACAAAAAACTAGCTGGGCATGGTGGCGCGTGCCTGTAATCCCAGCTACTCAGGAGGCTGAGGCAAGAGAATTGCCTGAACCCAGGAGGTGGAGGTTGTGGTGAGCCGAGATCACACCATTGCACTCCAGCCTGTGTAACAAGAGTGAAACTCCGTCTCAAAAAAAAAAAACTGTAAAACTCTCCACCCATGTAATACCTTATATAAATATATCCAATTCCATCCCAAACTGAACAGAAAGCTGATGATTAAAACACGCCTCAATTGAGTGTACCAACGTACATACGTCCACAGCTCGGTAGCCACTAAAACCACGATGCAGAGCAGACATAGAAGTACCTCAAAACAGAAAGAAGCAGAAATCAGCCACCAAAAATATTCAGGGAAACTATAAACAACTGGACTCAAATACACAAAATCATTTCTACAATTTTGAGGTTTGTTCATCAATAGAGCATGAATGATCTAGTACAGGTTCTTAACATAATTATAGTCGTTTGGAAAGTATTTAAAAAGGGCACTTACTCACGTTGCCCTTGCCCTCATCCCATCTTACCATTAACACATTATATGGATCCACTCCAAAGTAATCTTCAAATCGCCACTTCCATGTTTCAAAATCATGAAGCTTAAAATTAATTAAAATATCACTTAGTGCATCATCCAAGGCACCTGGTTTCCAGTCTTCTCCATTGAGAAACTTCTGTATTTCTAACAAAGTTTCTCTTTTAAGGATAATCTCCGCATCATAATGCACATCGCCTTTGTTTTCATCAGGCTAAATAAAATTTACCAAAAACAACAGGAAAAGAGATTTTTATTACTACTTGGTGAACCATCTTAAGACAAAAGCCAATTTGGAACTAAATAGTAGTTTGCAGTATTTCAAATGTATAATAATAATAGCCTGGGCAAGGTGGCTCACACCTATAATCCTAGTGCTTTGAGGGGACAAGCTGAGGGGACAGCTTGAAGCCAGGACTTCAAGACCAGCCTGGGCAACAAAGTGAGACCCCCATCTCTACAAAAACTCTGGGTGCAGTGGTGTGGAGAAGAATTGTCTGCGCCCCAGATTTGAGGCTACAGTTAGCTTTGAGCACCCACTGCACTGCAGCCTGGGAGACAGAGCAAGACCCTGTCTCTAAAAAAAAAAAATATCCACCTGCCTTCACAGGCCAAAATGAAAACCAAAGATAATACACGTAAAAAAATTTAAAAATTCTAGCACTCTATGCAAAAAAGATACTGTAAATTTCACTACAATACAGTTGATTCTTGCTATTCACAGTAGTATCTTCTATAAAGTCACCTCAAACACTGATTAGCAAGTACTGAACCATTACTTCTATAGTAAACATAGGGTTTGCTTCCTGCAAACCTGTCATAGCATTTTCATCATTTGATTGTTTTATGTGTGTTTCTGTACACTCCTGTTTAAGGACACCTTATTTAATATATGTATAGTTGACTCATTAACATTGAACATATGGACAACTGTTCTATACCTTATGCCTGACTGAAACCTATCTAACACACAACCTTCCTGCACTTAGAAACACCAGACCTCAGTTCAGCACTATATCAGAGGGCCATTTTAAACAACGACATCATGCCGTTTAATGAATGTTTCTAAATAAATAATTAAATTTAAAATTTAAAAATCACCACTCTGCCCTCAAAAAAGGATGAAAAAATATACCAATAAATAGACCACAAAAAAGACACTTGTTTGCAGTATGGGAATGAAACAAGAAAACAGTTTCAGTTGTCTTATTCCATCTCAGCCAGCCACCCAAATTTTGTGCCACTCTTCATAGTGTCCAAGAGTAACCACAAACACCTCGAGTATTGACTTTGGGGTTACACAGACTTAATGAGGTCAATTAATAAATATGAATCTGTGAAAAATGAGGATCAACTGTGCATCTTTATTTTATGACTCGTGGCATGACTTCATTTGCTGACAGTTTTCAGAGAGCCTAAAATCTGTATTAGTTCAAGCAAGAAAAACAAGGGATCTCAAAGAGCAACAAAATAATGGGTTTCCATGAAATACGTATTTATAACTAGCTTCGTGTGAGTTCAGCTTAGCAAAATCACTGTAAACAAATTCTGCATTAACTAGCCAGTTAATACAAAAAAATTCCTTTTTCTTTTACAAGAGTAAATACAAGGCCGGATGTCATGGCTCACACCTGTAATCCCCGCACTTTGGGAGGCCGAGGCGAGTGGATCACTTGAGGTCAGGAGTTCAAGACCAGCCTGGCCAACATGGTGAAACCCTGTCTCTACTAAAAATACAAAAAAAACTAGCTGGGCATGATGGCAAGTGCCTGTAATCCCAGCTACTTGGGAGACTGAGGCAGGAGAATCACTTGAACCCAGGAGGCAGAGGTTACAGTGAGCCAAGATCGTGCCCCTGCACTCCAGCCTGGTGATAGACTCTGTTTCAAAAAATACAGATATAAAAAAAGTAAATATAAAATGAAAAAAAGTCACAATTATCACAAATCATCAGTAAGCATTCTTAAAAGCCATCATTGATTAATAATAACATGTTTTAAAAATCAGAAATTAAAGATTTTCAGGCATTTCCATCTTTGGTTCAGTCTGTTTTCTTATCTAGGTTCTGTTCTACCCTGTACGCAGTTCTAAGACTCAAATCAGAGGGTGCACATATGAGAACTCATCTGCTTCTATACTTCCAGAATAAGGTGGCGTCGTCAAATTATTCATCTAACATTCCTTTCTCTTTTGGCGGCTTCTTACTGTACCAGGAAGATGGGAGTATGGCCAGTTTCACCAGCCTGCACTATGCTGATGTAAGCGCCTTTCATTTTCGGGGATCTGCCTGTGACCACTTCAGCAGGTGGGGCTAGTAGCCACATCAAGACCAAAGGCTGGTCTCTAACTCTCTAAATCAATTCTGGTGCCATACACGATAGGAAAAAAAAAATTCTATGAGCTTTATAAATGTTATAAGTTATTATACATTTTCTTGATGTTTTTACTTCCCAAAGTGAAAATAGTTACTTTTTAAAAATGGACATTTTGGCTGGTGGCTCACACCCATAATCCCAGCACTTTGGGAGGCCAAGGCAGGCAGATCACCTGAGGTCAGGAGTTCAAGACCAGCCTGGCCAACTGGCAAAATCCCATCTCTACTAAAAATACAAAAATTAGCCAGGCGTGATGGCAGGTGCCTGTAGTCCCAGCTACTCGGAAGGCTGAGTTAGGGAGAACTGCATGAACCCAGGAGGCGGAGGTTGCAGTGAGCCAAGATTGCACCACAGCCTGGGCAACAGAGCAAGACTCTGTCTTCAAAAATGAAATTTTAACAATTATGTGAACAGTATGTTTACAAAGTAGCACTTACCACAATAAACAAGGATAAAGACTACGTAAAACACTTTTTTCTTTTCCTCAGCATATACTGAGAGAAAACAAGGACTAGGGTCAGGAGAGAATTATCACCCCACCTCCATTAACTGGTAGAGCAGTGCACAGAGTTGAGTAAGTAAATCCATACAAACTAGAGAAGAAAGAGCACTCTGCACTGCTCATCTTCTACCAGACCACTGCAAAGCAGTATAGTGGTACCTTTAATCCTGTATGAATAGCTTCTGGTTAAAAAGTCAGTCAGGTGGTCTCTGTTAAAAAGCATCATGATGCTTTCACTTCTTTATACTATTTGAAATTAATCAATAAAAATATCCACTATACTGATTAGCATAACACCATCAAATACTCACAAGTCCAAGCTTTCCAGCTTCAATTAAAATCTTATTTAAGTATCTCCTAAAAACAGGATTGCTTTGACTTTCATAGTCTTCCCTCTTTTTCTTTTCACACTCATCAATCTGTAATCATAAAACCAATTCAACATTAGTTACAGTCAGAGTGTAATGTAAGGGTTAACCTTCTAGCCTAGTGCTGCCATTGAAATCACGGTAAAGAGCTAGTTGTCTTTATCAAGCTTGCTTTTATCAGCTGTAATATATCATGGTGCAGATCTGGCCTGCTTCCCAGTGTTCTCTTTGCAAAGGACAAGTAGGCAACAAATAAGGAGCACAGAGAAGGACAGAGAAGGACGCAGCACTTTCCTCTGCTTTCAGGCAAGGTTTGTAAAACCATTTTATTTCCAAACCTTAAAGAAACAACTTAGGAAAAAAAAAAGAATCTGAGACTCCATTTTACCAATCATGTTTCTTGCAATGTTTATACAAGTCACAAACAATGGAATAAAAAATTTCTGTAAAAAGGCATTTCTGCACTTTTGCTGTGCAACCACTAAGTCACTATACAATAATACACAAAGTGAAGCAATTTTTTAAATATATTTTTTTCTTGTGGCTTCCTCAAATCATGAGTAAAGCAAATTTTATCCAAGCACATCTTCCTGTGCACTCAGTTGAGACTATTAACATTTAATAAGAATCACAAGAATCTTATTGGGCTGTACCTGGATCTCAATGAACAAATTCTCAAGCTCCCTCAAGCTGGGACTTATTCACTCTAGTTCTTCCCTATCCCTTATCCCCCTTACTTCCCTAAGCCATCAACATTTGCCTATTCTACCTGTTATAAGTTTAAGGCCTGCCTCTTATCTTCAACCCATCACTGCCTCATTTCAAACCTTCAGCATTGCTGGACCTCTGCAGCGTCCACTGATCGCACAGACACCCCCTTCTCCATTCTGGGCCCCTCCACACCGCTACCAGTTCACCCTGCCTAGGCAGCCAACTGAAGGCGGCTCCTGCAGCAAATAACTACATTCACATCTACTGACTCATTTATTTTTGTATAAACTATACTTGAGCTACATTTTTTTAAGATGATTGGATAAATGAAAGAATGAACAGCGATTACACACTAAATTATAATAATCCTTTGTAAGAGTAACTCTTATGCTTATAACCTGGTAATAGACACATTTCTTCATTTGCTACATTTGTTGAGAGTTTACAATGCCTCCGAGCTGTGATAGGTGATAGAGAATTAAGATGAATGAAATGTACTCCTTGCACCAAGAAGTTTGCAGTCTGGTAAAGAAATACAACACAGGGAGGTCAATGTTATTACATGAAAATACAAGGTACTATTAGGAAAACTAAGGCTAGAATAACTGATGAGAAACCAAGGTTAGAGTATCCAAAGAAAAATTTGACATATAAAAATCATATGGTACATGGAAACACTACAAACACAAATATATCAGCAGAGACAAGAAAACAGAGCAATTTAACATAATATAAAAATACAAAATTTATGAATGAAAAAAACTAACCTTATAAGTTAAAGAATCAAGTTTGTGATAACATTTCGATATTTCATCAGCATATGCCAAGTCAGGACTGACATCCTTTTCCCCTGAAATACCATATTTTGCCTAAAACAAAGTAGAGACATTTTATTTCTTTATAGTTTAGTTACAAAAATAACCTTTGGTTAATGAAGACTAAGATTCTGACTTCATCATTTCATGACTCTGCATGTTAGATTCTTAAATTGTACTGAACCACAAAAAAGAAGTTTCAAATGTACATCCTAAGAACTAAAATCAAATTATTTTGCTACTTCAAGGGCTTTATATTCAAAATTGGTACCACGTAGGTTTGAAATAATTTCAGATTAACAGTGTCAGGAAAATATTCTGCATAATTGCTAAACATGGACACACACATAGCTCTGGGCAAAACAACAGAGCTAGATTATTTCCATCATGGGACTAATAAGGTCTTACATACACATGCAAAAATTTTTTTTTAATACCTGAGATTTTCTCATTGTTCCTGAAGCAGCGTCATAGTTAAGCATGTCTGTGGGGTCAATCCAGTCATCATCCTGAGCATAACCAGCTACCAGCAGTAGACATTCACAAAGGAGCAAAGACCACAGCATCCTGTATAAGGCTAAAACAATTTTTAATATATATTATGAAATAGAATTATTATTTTTTTTTTTTTGAGACGGAGTTTCGCTCTTGTTACACAGGCTGGAGTGCAATGGTGTGATCTCGGCTCACCACAACCTCCGCCTCCTGGGTTCAGGCAATTCTCCTGCCTCAGCCTCCTGAGCAGCTGGGATTACAGGCACGCACCACCATGCCCAGCTAATTCTTTGTATTTTTAGTAGAGATGGGGTTTCACCATGTTGACCAGGATGGTCTCGATCTCTGGACCTCGTGATCCACCTGCCTCAGCCTCCCAAAGTGCTGGGATTACAGGCTTGAGCCACCACACCCGGCCAAAATAGAATTATTTTTAAAATAAACTGGGTTTAGGGTTTTTAAATTTTTTTTAGAGACAGGGTGTTGCTCTGTTGCCCAGGCTGGAGTGCAGTGATACAATCGTGGCTTACTGCATCCTCCAACTCCTGAGCTCAAGGGATCCTCCTGGCTAGTTGGGACCACAGGCATGTGCCACCATACCTGGCTAATTTTTTTTTTAATTTTTAGTAGAGACAGGGTCTCACTATGTTATCCAGGCTGGTCTTAAACTCCTGACGGCCATCCTCCCACCTGGCCTCCCAAAGTGCTAAGACTGCACCCAGCCAATTGTTTTGTAATGAAAACTACTTTCTTCTAGAGTTAAGAACGCTTTCTGAATAGTAACTAAGGAAGAAGGTATATAAAATAAAAATAAATTGTTCATATATTTTAAAAACATACATATATACAAAATATGCTCATTAAGAAAATAGATATTTTTCCATACGGCCTAGCAATTCCATTCCTAGTCATATACCCAACAGAAATGAAAATACATATCCACACAAAAATTTGTATATGAATGTTTATAGCCACATTTTTCATAATAGTCAAAAGACAGAAACAACCCAAATTGCCATCAACAGGGCCAGGTGTGGTGGCTCACACCTGTAATCCCAGCACTTTGGGAGGCCAAGGCAGGTGGATCATTTGAGCTCAGGAGTTCAAGACCAGGCTAAGCAATGGAAAAAAAATAACCAAAAAATTAGCCAGCTGAGGTAGTGCAAGCCTGTGGTCCCAGCCCCTCAGGAGGCTGAGGTGGTTGCATCACTTGAGCCTGGGAGGTGGAGGTTGCTCCATGATTTTGGTGGAGTGGCCAAAATCATGTCACTGCACTCCAACCTGGGTGACAGAGTGGGATCCCCATCACAGAAAAAACAACAACAGAAAATTTCCATCAACTGATAAATAAATAAAATGTGGTATAGCCATGCAATGAATCAGGAGGTTGGAAGGATCTGCAGTGTCCAGTTGAGAGATGAAGGTGACAGGAGCTAAGATAGCAGCAAAGGTGATGACAACTGGTTAGATTTTTCAAATCTGTAGGTAGACCCTACTACATTTGGCAAAGTGACCAGCTAATAGGTCACTAGGTACATTTCTTCTTCCTTCTGGACAAATGATGACTGTATGGCTCAGCCTCTCTTTGTTAAGAATGGCCATGTGATACTAAAGTTCTAGCCAATGCAGCGCGTGGAAGGGATATGCACCACATCCATGAAAACCTCCCAGCTGCCCTCTCCCAACCGGAGAATGCCCAGGACACTGAGCCCTGGAGGATGGCAGCCAAACTATGCAGGCACCTGGACCCCAAAATGACCACCTAGAAGGCCACCCACTAAGTGGGAATACAGCTTTTCACTTTCATGTGAGCAAAAATTAATTTCCTTTATGGCAAATCCTGAGACATAGGGGTTTATTTCTTGTAACATCTCTTGCTATTCTAATACAGAAATAAATACACTGTAGAAATTGCTGAAAATTTGGATATAGATAAAGACAAGTGAAGATTTGGGACGATGTCTAGGTTTGTGGCCAGGGCAATTGGGAGAAGGGAAAAGACTGAGGAAGACAGCAAGTTCTGAAAGATCGAGTTTTGTTTGGATATAATAAATTTGAGGTGTCCACTGATGTCCAAGTGGAGACTGCAAATATGCAGGATGAAGCTAAGGAGAGCAGTGGGACTGCATTTGAGAGTCAGCAAGATGTAGATGGGGTTTAAAGGAGATGGACTGGGTACGATCACCCTAAGATCTATTATGAGGACAAAAGACTGAGTCAGGGCAACCCAATATTTGGGAATCAAAAAGAAGAGGAGGAACCGGCAAGAGATACTTCAGGTGAGTGCTACGAGGCAGGAAGAAAACCAGGAGAGGCTGGAATTCCAGAAGCCGACTGAAGAGAGAACAGACAGCTATGTTGAATGCTGCTAAGAGGTGAGGCAATCAGAGGGCAGCAAACAGACCCCTGGATTTGGTACAGCAGCTTTGACAGAGAAAGCCTAGCAAGAACAGTTAAAGGAATCATTCAGGTGGAGGTTTTGGAGCAAGGTGATACAGTAACTCTATGGTGGTACCTGCATCTATCGTTTTGCTTTCCAAGGCTTCGGTTACCCATAGTCAACTGCAATCTGAAAATATTAAATGGAAAATTCCAGAAGTAAACATTTCCTAAGTTTTCAATTATGTGCAGCTCTGGGTACTGAGAGGAACTCTCTTGCTGTCCTGTTCCATCCCACCTGGGATACCTCCACACTGTAGGTATCACACTCCAGTCACTTAGTACCCATCTGGGTTAGCAGATCAACTACTCTGGTATCAGTGTGTGTGTTCAAGGAATCTCTATTTTACTTACTAATAGCACTACAGCACAGGCCAGCCAATGCTGGCAAGTCAGATATGACAAAGAGAAGCCATAAAGTGCTTTATTTAAGTGAAAAAGTGAAAGTTCTCAACTTAATAAAGAAAAGGGCTGGGAGCAGTGGCTCATGCCTGTAATTTCAAAACTTTGGGAGGCCAAGGCAGGTGGATCACTTGAAGTCAGGAGTTCAAGACCAGCCTGGCCAACATGGTGAAACCCTGTCTCTACTAAAAATACAAAAATTGGCCAGGCAAAATGGTTCATGCCTGTAATTCCAGCACTTTGGGAGGCCACGGCAGGCGGATCACCTGAGCCCAGGAGTTCGAGACCAGCCTAACGAACATGGCAAAACCCATGTTTCTGCTAAAAATACAAAAATTAACCAGGCATAATGGTGGGTGCCTGTAGTCCCGGCTATTTGGGAGGCTGAGGCAGGAGAATCGCTTGAACCCAGGAGGTGGAGGTGCAGAGAGCTGAGATTATGCCACTGCATTCCAGCCAGGACAACACAGCAAGACTCCATCTCAAAAAAAAATAAATAAGTAGGCCAGATGTGGTGGCTCATGCCTGTAATCCCAGCACTTTGAGAGGCCGAGGAGGGCGGATCACCTGAGGTCGGGGGTTTGAGACCAGCCTAACCAACATGAAGAAACCCCATTTCTGCTAAAAACACAGAACTAGCCAGGCATGGTGGTGCATGCCTGTAATCCCAGCTACTGGGGAGGCTGAGGCAGGAGACACTTGAACCCAGGAGGTGGATGATGCGGTGAGCTGAGATTGTGGTGAGCTGAAATCGTGGTGAGCCCAGATCATGCCACTGCACTCCAGCCTGGGCAACAAGAGTGAAACTCCATTTCAAATAAATAAATATACAAAAATTAGCCAGGTGTGGTGGCACAACTAAGGCAAGAAATCGATTGAACATGGGAGACAGAGGTTGCAGTAAGCTGAGATCACACCACTGTACTTCCAGCCTGGTTAAGAGTGAGAATCTGTCTCAAAGGAAAACAAAAGGCTGGGCACAGTGGTTCACACCTGCAATCCCAGCACTTTGGGAGGCTGAGGCAGGTGGATCACCTGAGGTCAGGAGTAGAGACCAGCCTGGCCACCTTGGCAAAACCCTGTCTCTACTAAAAATATAAAAATTAGCCGGGCAAAGGCCGGGCGCTGTGGCTCAAGCCTGTAATCCCAGCACTTTGGGAGGCCGAGGTGGGTGGATCATGAGGTCAACAGATCGAGACCATCCAGGTCAACATGGTGAAACCCCGTCTCTACTAAAAAAAAAATACAAAAAATTAGCTGGGCATGATGGCACACGCCTGTAATCCCAGCTACTCGGGAGGCTGAGGCAGGAGAATTGCCTGAACCCAGGAGGCGGAGGTTGCGGTGAGCCGAGATCGCGCCATTGCACTCCAGCCTGGATAACAGCAGCAAAACTCTGTCTCAAAAAAAAAAAAAATTAGCCAGGTGAGATGGTGGGCACCTGTAATCCCAGCTCTCAGGAGGCTGAGGCAGGAGAATCACTTGAACCCAGGTGGTAGAGGCTGCAGTGAGCGGAGATCACACCAGTGCACTCCAGCCTCAGTGATGAGTAAAACTGTATCAAAAAAAAAAAAAAAAATTAAAGAAAAAAGAAAGAAAGAAAAAAATTCACATGATGAGGTTGCTAAGATCTATGGCTGCAAGACAAATTTTGTATCCATGAAATTGTACAGAAGGAGAAAGAAATTCATGCTAGTTTTGCTGTCGCAGCTCAAAGTGAAAGATTTGCAGCCACAGTACATAACTTTTATTATTGTGTATTGTTACAATTTTTCTATTTTATTAGATATTGCTGTTAATTTCTTATTGTGCCTAACTCATAAATTAAACTTTAGCAGAGGTATGGATGTATAGGAAATAACATAGTAAATATATAAGGCTCAGTACTAACTGAAGTTTCAGGCATCTACTGGGGGTCTTGGAATATATCCCCTAAGGGTAAAGTGGGGAGTCTGTACTCCAGTGCACTTCACCAACTCCTACTTCTGGCCAAGATGGATTAACAGGGCCCAGATTTACCCACCTGCCTGAACAACCAAAACTGCATAAAATACACAGAACAAAAGTTTCTGGCCAGTTGTTGAGACTCACTCCTGTAATCCCAGCATTGTGGGAAGCCGAGGTGGGAAGATCACTTGAGCCCAGGATTTTGACACCAGCCTAGGCAACACAGGGAGACTGCATCTCTACAAAACTTAAAAGAAAAAAAATTTAGCTAGGTGTGGTGGTGCACATCTATAGTCCCAGCTACTTGGGGAGGCTGAGATGGGAGGATCACTTGAGCCCGGGAGGTTGAAGCTGCAGTGAGCCACGATCCCGCCACTGCTCTCCAGCATGGGTGATAGAGCAAGACCCTGCCTCAATGACAACAACTAAAGACCCAGAACACCAAAACTGCTGTTATGCTCTGGAGATACTTAGAAATACTGAAAAACTATACTTTATGGGAAAAATTAGAGTTTGGCTAAGGAAGAAACCCATGGAAGCAAATACAAGAGAGAAGGGGAAGGCTAATAAGGGCACTAGAGGGCAAGCCAAAAAATGCAATGGGCAAAAACCAAGGAGGGGCTTAACTTCGACAAAGAGGTATCAAGCATCTTCAGTACTTCAGAGGAGTGGAGAGGAATCAAGTCTGAAAAAAAGCCATTGGATTAATTAGTTGGCCATTTATGACCTTTCAGAGAATGACAGTGAGAGACCTAATTCTCTAAGTGGTTAAGAAGCAGGTGACAAAGGGAGTGTGTAAACTGGAGAGAGGCTCCAAGATGGAAGTGGATGAAATCAAGGTTACAGAAGGGTTCTTCACAGGCAGCGAGGTTATACACTCCATAAACAGAAATGAAGACAAAATCTGTAAAGTAAAAAGAGAAGCTGACAGAGTTCATATTATAATATGATATCGAGTGCAGAGAAATTACTAAGAATAATTTATATTTCTTACACTGTATGTGAGGAGGTTGAGATGGGGAAATGGAGATTTGGAGGGGATAAAAATACTACAGGAGGCATTATACAGAAAGGTGAATGAAAGCCTGTCAAGCAGTTGAGGGTTTTTTTTCTTTCTTATAGAGACAGGATCTTGCTATGTTGCCCAGGCTGGTCTTGAAGGACCTCCCACCCCGCAAAGTGCTGGGATTACAGATGAGCCATTGTGTCAACCAGGCAGCTGAGTTTTGACTGTGACATCCACAAACTGTTACTTTCTCCACTAATGACCAGCAGATCTATAGATTTATCCAGGAATAGAGATTAGCATTACTAATGATGGAAGACCAGAAGGTACGACAGAATAGAAGAATCAGCTAGAAATTCAAGCTCTCCTGCCAGTTCCCCAGGGTCACTGAATGAAGGCTGGAACTCCTTGAGAAATCCTACAACAGATCTCACACTTCCTCCAAACAAAGCTGCATCTAAACCTACTGCAGAGCTTGTTAAAACAGATTCAGTAAATCTGAGGTAGGTCTGAAATTATCCACTTATAACAAGCTCCTGGTGATGCTGCAGACTACACTCTGAGTAGCAAAGTGTTAATCAAAAGTAACCATGCTATGCTGGTTTAGTTTAATTGCGGCGCCTATGTCATTCTAGTACTTGTCAGTGGGTACTAACTACTCTCTCTCCCGCAGTCCCTACTATTTTTACCATTTTTCTCCTGTCTCAGGCTTCGGTACTAATAATTTTTAAATTATATACAATAGTAGCTAAAGGCCAGGCGCGGTGTCTCATGCCTGTAATCCCAGCATTTTGGGAGGCCAAGTCAGGCTGATCACCTGAGATCGGGAGTTCAAGACCAGTCTGATTAACATGGAGAAACCCCGTCTCTACTAAAAATACAAAAATTAGCCGGATGTGGTGACGCGCGCCTGTAGTCCAGCTACTCGGGAGACTGAGAATTTGCTTGAACTCGGGAGGCAAAGGTTGCAGTGAGCCGAGATCACGCCACTGCACTCCAGCCTGGGTGACACAGCAAGACTCCGTCTCAAAAAAAAAAAAAAAAAAAAAATCAGAGTTGAAGGTTTGCTTTGTGTCCGGTTTTTTTTTTTTTTTTTTTTTGACTAGTCAAGTGAAGCAGTGGAAGTGGAGAAGGAACAAAGAAATCTGTAACTGGTTGTGATCAATTAGTTGTAAACACCACGCACTCGTACCAGCCTGTGTCCGGTTTTTTGTTAACTGTGTTAATTCACAGACTTGAAGTTTTAGAAAATTAACTACAACTAAATCCGAGCTATTCGGCTGACAGCATTTATTCAAATTATGCTTAAAGTTTTCAGAGATGATCAAAGCCAACAGAATTCAACGTTCGCCCGGGTCTCGCTTTGCACTCTGCCTTTTCCGTAAGCCGCTCCCTGGGCCGAGCACCTACCGGAATCCGCCGAGCCACGACGGACAGGCAGCCGCCGGCGCTGGAGCCGGGGGAGGAGCCCAGCGCGCCCACAGGCCGGAGCCGCCGCAGCGCTGAGAGCGCGGTCCCCACCCGGAGTCACGCTTAGCGTCGGCACCGCGAATACGCCAGAACTGCCGGGGCGAAACGCCCCGCCCCACCCGCCGCACAACACACTCAAGTGCAGGGACTCACGTCCGGGATCCCCTGCCTGCCTCACGAGGAAGACACCTGCCCAGGCCGGCTGCAGAAGACGTCGCACAGCCCGTCGTCGACCAGCGTTTCAGCGCGCGCCGGAGCTCCAGTGCCTCCTCATCGACTTGCTCGGCCGGCGGCTGCGTGTCCCTCCCGCGCGCACCGCTGATTGGTCCCGTTGCGGGGCGGGGTTAGTGGCGGGGCCGGCCTCTTCTTGCAGGTTATTTAGGTCACGGATTTTCTTTCACTTTTCATCTGCGGAATTCCTTATGCGAACGAGGTCGCTCCTGGCACCTAAATGTATACAACGGATAGGAAACGTATTTTCTTACCATTAATATATTTGTTAAGTTTGAATGTGTAACATTCACTATGATAAGCAAGCATGATTTTTTTTTTTTGAGGCAGAGTCTGTGTCCCCCAGGCTGGAGTGCTGGTGGTGTGAATAAAGAGACGGGGTTTCACCATGTTGGGCAGGCTGTTCTCAAACTCCTGACCTTCAGTGATCCGCCCCCCTCAGCCTCCCAAAAAGTTGGGATTACAGGCGTGAGCCAGCGGGCCTGGCCACAAGCATAATTTTTAAACCAGGGATCACGAATGACAATTGTTGTACTCAGGGCGGGACGACAGAAAGGTCTGCACACTGCAGGGCAGTTGGAAATAGTAAGTTTAGTTTTTGTCTTTAACTGGCCTTGCAATCTTGGGAAACTGTAAAGATGGTAAAATTTACAGTCTTAACAATTTTTAAGGGTACAGTTCAGTGGCATTAAATATATTGACATTGTTCCACAACCATCGCCACCATCCATCGCCAGCACTCGTCTTGCAAAACTGAAACTCTGTACCCAGTAAATGGTAACTCCTCATTCTTCCCCTCCCTCCTTCACACCAACTGCCATTCTTTCTGTCTGTATGAATTTGACTTCTCTAGGTATTTCATACAAGGAATCATACAGCATTTGTGTTTTTGTGACTGATTTCACTTAGCATACTGTCCTCAAGTTTCATCCATGGTAATGTGTCAGAATTTCTTTCAAGGCTGCATAATATTTCATTTTATATATATATACCAGTTTATCCAGTCATCTGTTAATGGATAACAGGTTGTTTCCACTTTTGTCTACCGTGAAATAATACTATAAACATGGATATACAAATACCTGTTTTTTAACCCTTTTGAGTATATACACGATGTTCAAATATCTGTTGCTTTCAACTCATGAATATCTACACAGAAGTGGAATTCCTGCATTATGTAGTAATTCTATTTTTAATTTTTTGAGGAACTGCCATACTCTTTTTTCCATAGCGGCTGCACCATTTTACATTCCCACCAGGAGTGCACAAGAGTTCCAAATTCCCCACATCTCCGCTGACATCTTTTTATATTTGTATAATAACCATCTTAATAGGTGTGAGGTACCTCATTGTGGTCTTGATTTGCCTTTCCCTAATGACCAATGATGTTGAGCATGTTTTCATGTGTTTATGGGCTAGGCCATTTGTATATCTTCATTGGAGAAATGTCTATTCAAGTCCTTTACCCAATTTTTTTTTAAGAGACAGGGTCTCACTTTGTCACCTAGGCTGAAGTGCAGTGTCATGATCATGGCTCACTACAGCCTTGAACTCCTGGCTCTGCCCATTTTTTAATGGGTTTTTGTTGTGTTTTAATTCTCTATATATTCTGGATATTAACCACCGTATCAGATAGGATATGCAAATATCTTCTTTCTTCCACTTTTTATTTTATTTTTTTTGGAGTCAGGATCTCCCCGTGTTGCCCAGGCTGGTCTCAAACTCCTGGGCTCAAGAGATCCAGCCTCATCCTTCCAAAGTGCTGGGATTACAGGCATCAGCCACCAAGTCCTGCACCATCTTCTTCCTCTTAGTGGGTTGACTTTTCACTCTGTTGTGTCTTTTGGCTTCTTACTATAAACCAAAAATATAATTCTAAGCACCCCCCAACCCAACCAACTGAATAGACCCATCCTCTCAGCCAAGGGCATTCTAAAGTCAATCTGAGGCCAGGTGCAGTGGCTCACGCCTGTAATCTCAGCACTTTGGGAGGCCAAGGCAAGGATATCACTTAAGGTCAGGTGTTCAAGACCAGCCTGGCTAACGTAGTGAAACCCTGTCTACTAAAAACACAAACTTAGCCAGGTGTGGTAGTGGGCGTCGGTAATCCCAGCTACTTGGGAGGCTGTGGCAAGAGAATCGCTTGAACCCGGGAGGCAGAGGTTGCAGTGAGCCAAGATCTCACTACTGCACTCCAGCCTGGACGACAAAGTGAGACTCTGTCTCAAAAATAAATAAAAAGGAAACCTGAAACATTAGTTCAAGGCATAATGTGCTGAGAATGGGTGGTCAGGCATGCCTCATTATACCCTTTGCTTTTTGGAATTCAGGCACAGCTGACCAGCATTAAAACAGAGATCTTGGCCAGGTGTGGTGGCTCACGCCTATAATCCCAGCACTTTGGGAGGCCGTGGTGGGCAGATCACCTGAGGTCAGGAGTTTGAGACCAGCCTGGCCAACATGGTGAAAACCCATTTCTACTAAAAATATAAAAATTAACCAGACATGATGGCACATGCCTGTAGTCCCAGCTACTCAGGAGGCTAAGAGAGGAGAATCACTTGAACCTGGGAGGTGGGTGTTGTAGTAGCCAGGATCAGGCCATTGCACTCCAGCCTGGATGACAACAGAGTGAGACTCTGTCTTAGAAAAAAAAAACAAAAACAAAAAAACACAAAACCCAGACACCTTAACACTGACATTCTTTGTAGCAATAAGATACCAACAATGTGACAGCAGGTCCATCCCCCCAACCCCACCTCTGAGTTGTCCCATCTTTCCAGACTAAACAATGTACATTTAACATGTATTGATTAATGTCTTATGCTCCCTAAAATGTATATAAAACCAAGCTGTAGCCCAAACACCTTGGGCACACCTTCTCGGGATCTCCTGAGGCTGTCATGGGCTGTGGTCACTCACATGTGTCATGGCTCAGAATAAATGTCTTCAAATACTTTTACACAGTTTGATTCCATTGACATTACAATTTTCTTTTTTTTAAAGACGGGGTTTCACCATGTTGGTCAGGCTGGTCTTGAACTCCTGACCTCAGGTGATCTGCCTGTCTAGGCCTCCAAAGTGCTTGGATTACAGGCTTGAACCACCACGTCCGGCTTACAATTTTCTTTTTTTAGCCTTCTCTGCACTAGCAGACATTACAATTTGGGGAAAAAAAAATTAAAAAATATAATTTGGGGGCAGATGTGGTGTCTAATGCCCATAATGCTAGCATTTTGGATAGCTAAGATGGAAGGATTGTTAAGAGGCCAGGAGTTTGAGACCAGCGTGGGCAACATAGTAAGACCCCCATCTCTATAAAAAGCCCCACATCATGGCATGTGCCTGTAGTCCTAACTACTCGGGAGGCTGAGTGAGGCAGAGAATCACTCAAGCCCAGAAGTTTTAGGATACAGTAAGCAAGACTTTGTCAATACAACACAATGCAATAAATTTAAAAATTAAATTTTAAAACTAGAACTAGGCGGGGCATGGTGGCCCACGTCTGTAATCCCAGCACTTTGGGAGGCCGAGGTGGGTGGATCCCCTGAAGTTGGGAGTTCAAGATCAGCCTGACCAACATGGGGAAACCCCGTCTCTACTAAAAACACAAAATCAGTCAGGCATGGTGGTGCATTCTGTAATCTCAACTACTCAGGAGGCTGAGTCAGGAGAATTGTTTGAACCCAGGAGACGGAGTTTGTGAGCCGAGATTGTGCCATTGCATCCAGCCTGGGCAGCAAGAGCAAAACTCTGTCTCAAAAAAAAAGATAGAAATAATCTCTCAACTAGATAAGGCTTAAAAAAAAAGAAAAGGAAGAAAGAAAAAGAAAACAAATAAAACTGGAACAGACCTGTGAAGTTTCTGCCTGGAAATAATTAAAAATCTCTGCACTACCCATCCACCAAACTCTCCTTCCTTGCACTCCCATATGAGATGGACTCCGAGAGTATAGATACTTCAGTCCTCTCATTTTCTCTTATATGTGAACCTCAAAGAATCTATTCATCCCCATCAGACCAGGTGGTGTGGAGACAAACAAGAAAGGACATATGTAACCAGCTGCTTTATAGAAGCAAATATTATAATTACTGGTGCTTATTATTATTACTTTGAGATGAAATCTTGCTCTGTCACCCAGACTGGAGTGCAGTGGCACAATCTTGGCTCACTGCAAACTCCACCTCCCGTGTTCAAGCAGTTCTCCTGCCTCAACCGCTCATGTAGCTGGGATTACAGGCACATGTCACCACCACCCCCCGCTAATCTGTTTGGGTTTTTTTTTTTTTTTTTTTTTTTTTGTATTTTTAGTAGGGACGAGGTTGCACCATTGTTTACTAGAGTCAAACTCTGTAAAATATTTTAAGAGATTTATTCTTAGCCAAATATGAGTGACCATGGTGCATGACACAGCCCCTCAGGAGGTCCTGAGAACATGTGCCCAAGGTGGTGGGGTACAGGTTAGTTTTACGTATTTTAGGGAGGCATGAGATATCAATGAAATACATTTAAGAAATACATTGGTTTGGCTTAGAAAGGCAGAACAACTCAAAGCAGGGGGACTTCCAGGCTATAGGTAAATTTAAACATTTTCTGGTTGACAATTGGTTATCTGAAGACCTCAGATCAAAGGAAATGTTCGGGTTAAGATAAAGGATTGTGGAGGCTGGGCACAGTGGCTAACACCTATAATCCCAGCACTTTGGGAGGCCAAGGCGGGTGGATTACAAGGTCAAGAGATTGAGCCCATCCTGGCCAACATGGTGAAAACCCATCTCTACTAAAAAAAATACAAACATTAGTTGGTCGTGGTGGCACGCACCTGTAGTCCCAGCACTTGGGAGGCTGAGGCAGGAGAATTGCTTGAACCCGGGAGGCGGAGGTTGCAGTGAGCCATTGATCACGTCACTGCGCTCCAGCCTGGAGCCTGGTGACAGAGCAAGATTCTCGCTAAAAAAAAAAAAAAAAAAAAGGATTGTAGAGACCCAGTTTTGTTGTTCAGAGAAGCTCCCAGATAAAAGACTTCAGAGAAAGCAGGTTGCAAAATGTTTCTTATAGGAGTTAAAAGGGTGCCTGGCTC